TTATCTGGGCTTACACCCCTGTGATTAATGACGTGCCCAAGGAACTGAATTTGTTCCTGAGCAAACACGCATTTCTGTATGTTTAGGGTGATCCCATTTTCTTGCAATCTTATGAGGACTCTTCGGAGACGAATGTCTTGTTCCTCCCGTGTGTCGGCCCATATCAAAATATCATCGATAAGGCACGTGACTCCTTCCAAACCTTCAAGAATTTGGTGCATCATTCGCTGAAAGATCTCCGGCGCGCAGGAGATTCCAAATGGTAGTCAATTAAATTTGTACCGGCCAAACTGTGTGATAAAAGTCGTAAGCAGCGTCGACTCTGGGTGCAACTTGATTTGGTAGAAGTTTGAATAGGCATAGAGATGAGAAAATATTCTCGCCTGCCCAAGAGTAGCTAGAAGAGGTTCCACGCTCGGTATCGGGTGGTACTCCCTCAGAACACTTTTATTAAGTGATGTGTAATCAACGCAGATGCAAACATCACCATTCTTCTTTGGAACTACAACAACAGGTGAGCACCAGCTTGTTGGTTCCCGAACTCTGGAAATAACACCTTCGTTCTCCATCTTTTTGAGCTGCTCTTCAACTGCTTTCTGGAGTGGAACTGGTATGCGTCTCGGTGACGACAAGGCAACTGGATAAGCATCAGGTTTTAGCTTTATTTCGCACACGTATGCAACTTCCCCTAGACCCTGAAAAAGCAAGGGGTACTCCTTGATTGGATCGAGAGCTTCTGAAGTTGACAGCTGAATTACTCGTTGGATGATGTTTAGGGCTTCTCTGAGGTCCAAGGCGAGCAGTGGCTCATTGAGATTTCTTGTTTTGTAGAAGGCGCCCGTTGTCTGAGAGTCTTTGAACGTGACCGTTGCCTGCAGCACGCCAAGAACATGCAGGCGTTCTTTTGTTGGTCCAAGAAGAACTTTATCCGCGTGTCGAAGACTGCCCTGGTCTTGCAGTTTGGATAGAAGGTGCTCCGGTACGACAGGGACGTCAGCACCAGTGTCCAAACAAAAGTTCACATCTTCGCTCCCAATACGAAGCAAGACTCGCCATGGTGCGCATTTGGCGGGGGACGTCACGGTTCCTGTGAAGTAGAAGTCTTCGTCAAGGTGCCTGGAAGTTATAGGCTCTGAGATTTGATGCAGGAAAGTCGACTTCGATTTGCAAACGCTTGCGAAGTGACCCGGCTTTCCACATTTGTGGCATTTGCTCTTTGATGCTGGGCAGTCTTTTCGTGGATGAACGTCATGGTTGCCGCACCAATAGCAAGCTTGAGAATCTTTTGCTGTCATGCTGTGCTTTTCTACAGGTGTGGTGTGCCTCTTGGATATTTTGAGGTGGTCGACTTGAACCTGATTAGGTTGCATGGCATCCTCTTGTCTGAGGGCCTCCTGTTGTTTTCCGACTATTTCAGTTTGCTTCGCGAGAAGAACTGCTCTCTCTAGCGTTCATTCACTCTCTAGTTGCAGCTTCATGGACAGTCGTTTATCGCAAACACCAACGACAATACGATCGCGAATAAGCTCATCGTTGATTTGGCCATACTCACACTTCTTGCTCAGTGTGTGCAGCGCCGTGATGAAGTCCGCGACTGGTTCACCATCTTTTTGGATGCAAGAATTGAACATAGCTTGCTCATAGACAATGTTCTTTTTGACAATGAAATGTGTCTCGAAGGCTTGGATGACGGTTAAATAGTCCTCAGCTTCAGAGGTCGGAATGTTGAGCGTCGCATAAATTTCTTCCGCTTTAGGTCGCATCAGGTAAATGAGAGAGTTTACCTGGTCGGCCTCAGGCTTGACGTGCAATCCAGATGCCGATCGAAAACGCTCCCAGCGGCGCTTCCATGTCAACCATTGTTCCGGATGAAAATTGAAAGGTTCAGGAGCGCTGAGCTGATATGGCATCGAGGAGGTGTCTTGCACCGATGAAGTGGCTTGTCCAGATTGCGTCATGAGCAGGCCTGGATCTGAACGATGTAGTCAGGAAGACCTGGTGGTTCCTTGCGAACTGGGCCACTCACTTCTGGCGTCGAAGATAGCTGACGAGTCCCAAAACTTCTGACACCATGTTTTGTAGTATAGGTGGGTTTATTCAGCTATGAAGTGATACGTTTTGAGTCCGCCCGAAGACCCGCACGAGATGCCGAGCTCCCGCTCTTTATGCGCTTCGTCGTTTTTCAACCCCGGCTATCCAACACTCTCCATGCTCTCAGCATCGCGCCAACTCCACACTTCAAACGGCACGTATCGATGTGTCTTCGCCAAGTAGCGTCGGGCATGCGGGATCTGCTCTCATATCAAGTAACCATGACAACCATTCACGTGGTGACCTTGAACACTGCAGCTGTGGTGCGGTGCTGGCAGAGGGCAGAGTGGAAGGCAGCATAGAGTAGAGTAACATGGAGAAGCAGTGGCAGAAGTGTCCTTGATCTTGCTCTTGCACGGTGCTGTGCTTTGAGTGTTTTCGGCGAGTGCGTGACAGTTCGTTTCCAAGCGTCATGGAAAGCTGTAGCATGTATTGCCCACGAAAGGACCTCAAGGGAAAGGTCGAGATACTGCACGAAGTTGACAAAGGCGCCCTTGCCAAGACGGAAATAGCGAAGAAATACGACATCACGAAGAGCACTTTTTCACCGTACATAAAGAACAGGGAGTCCATCTTTGCTGAATATGAAAAGCAGCAAATTCAACCTTCCAGGAAAAGACTGTGGACGTTGGCACATCACCAGCTTGAAGACGCTCTCGTCATGTGGATTAAACGGGTTCGTAGCAGGAACCTTCCACTGAGTGAGCCCATAATTGCGGCCAAGACAAGGGAGTTCACAAGCCAGATGGCTATTGAAGAATTCTCGGCATTGCAAGGGCGGCTATCACGGTTCAAAGAAACGCCATGGGCTTACTTTCATGACCCTTTTGCGGCGAAAAGGCGGACGTCGACAGCCAAATGCGAAGAGTGGCTCTCTGGGTAGCTGAAGGATTACCCTGCCTCCTACTCGCTCAATGCTGTGTTTAATGGGGCGGTGCAATGATTTTCGGACTTTGGCCAGTTAACTGCTGAAATTAACCTGTGTCACCTATTGAACGAAGAACAGAAAACCATGTTTTCCCGTGTGCGCTAGTTTTTATTTAAAAAAAAAATGAAACACATCGAAGGTCAAAGTGCCCCTCAACTTTCACGCCTTCTTTCGAGTGACGTTTCTGGGGGACCACGTGGTTTCTTATTGGGTTCTCTCTTCAGACACCCCAGCTGCTCCCTCCGCAGTTGTGGACTTTTCAAAGATTAGCACCGCCGAAGGTCGCGTCGAGCAGTCAACTCAAAAGACTGTTCACCACGGGGCTCCCAGCAAGTGTAGCTGCAGAGGTGGACAGGTTTTTTTTACTTTGCGTGTACCCCAGTGACGTGCCACCGTAGTTCCCATATCCTCCACAGGCGGCTGCAGATCGGCAAATAATTTGTTTTTTCCTTTGCGATTATGCAGCAGAATGGCAGTTTTCTCAGGGGAAAATGGCATTTTTTTTGCTCACTTGTGCCTAGATAAACATAAAAAATGCAAACTGCAGATTCTTCGGTGTTAAATTTTGTTACACTACCCCTTTGACACGGAGGAGACAGCGCTCTGCTGCCAATCTGCTCCCCAACAAAACAATCGCTTTTCAAGGCAATGACTGTGCTGGCAGGAAAAGGAGCAAGGAAAGGATAACGGTGATGGTGTACGCAAACGCGACAGGCGCGGAGCGGCCAGTTTTTCATAGTCGGCAAAGCGACTAAGCCTCGCTGTTTCAAAAATGTGAAGACCCTTCGTGTTGATTGCACTGCCAACAAAATGTCATGGATGACCATGAACCTTTTATTCACACTGGGTCCATGCACTAGATAGAAACTTTGCTGCAAAAAGCTGGAATATTGTTTTTGTAGACAAGTGCACTGTGATGTCCAAGGCCTATGTGCAATTCGCTTGGTGTTCCTGCCAAAGAACACGACGGCTATGCTGCAGCCCATGGATATGGTTGTCATGCAGAACCTGTATACCTTGTTTGTACCGAAGGCACATCATGGAGAGGATGCTTTTGTGTCTAAACAGTAAGAAGACATGCACCGTCTATCTTAGCACAATTCACAATCTCGCCACCGCGTGGGACTCCATCAAGGTGGAGACCATGGAAATGCAGCTTAGGCGAACTTGCGGCTGGATGTGAGGCGGAAGAGGCGGTGCAGATTTCGTCTGGCAATGACTGCTTGCCTGACAGCGTCTGTGGTGCACTGTTCAGAGATCATTCAGGCTATATGCAGTGTACAGGCCACATCTCGGGACCCTTGAGCCCTCGGCGGCAAAGACTCTGATGCCAGCAAAGGAGAAATGCCTCCACCTAGTACAACTGATGTTGCGTCGGTGCTTGACACAACCACATGCTACTTTTCTTGCCAGGAGAATGCAGATGCCACGTTGGAGCCAGTCTGCAAGCTCCAAGCAATGTTTGTTGTGTTTCGACAAAAGAAATGCGTGGAGGCACGCGCACCACTGATTACTTCCTTTCGTAATGTGCCCTGTTCTATACTAGTAAATAAATGTGCCAGAACTTGTCACTCATGTGCTAGGTCAGTGATCATGTGCTTCTTATCGTAGCGCTGCACAGAAGTACTCGATTCAATGAGTTTTTTTTAATTCAAACTCCGTTTAATTCGAACAAATTTTCGGGCTCCTTCGAGTTTAAATTGTCAAGATTCGGCCACATCAATACTGTCAAAGGCCCCAAAGGCAAATAAAAATTTATCTGAGCTCACAAATGGTCAGTGGTTGCAAGTCAGGCCCACACCATTGTTATTATCATACATAGTTGCAAGCACTTTTGTTCCACCACCAAATTGGTCAGGCCTTCTTTTGTCTGAAATAGTCGGACAAAAGCCTTAGAGGTCTGGGAACCAGCGATATAGCCATGCACACCTGATCATTTCACTTGTGTGGCATGACATTGTTGTTTTCATCTCCTCTCCAGGGTTTGAGGCCGGTCCTTGTCATGGAGAGCACCACTGCTCTCCTCTCGCTGTATGCCTCCCTTTGCCACCATGAAGAGAGTAAGCGCCCGAAACTCGTAGCTGGAACTCCCCATCTAAGCAGAACCCCCCCTGTTGCAGCCAGCCGAGAGCTGAGCCTGAAGTTGAGCCTGCTGACAGACCAGCTGTGTGTCCTGGTCAACGATGACAGCAACCCTGAACTTGCCCTCCGTGCAGCAGGCAGTCTGTGTGCCACTCTCGCCATTCCAGGGCTTCTCACTGCCACCAATCTGGACGTCATCAGATCCACCCTCGTGCGGGTGGCGACGCAAGAATCTGCACCTCCTGTCGGGTGAGGACTCAACCGGCTAATTCTCCTCTTCTTTAATTTTACCAGCGTATTCCGGAGGCATTTTTGTCCTTTGCAGTAACATGCCAAATGTGATATACAGTCAAACCCGGTTATAACGAAATCAACAGGATTCGGAAATAGTTGTTCGCTAGGTCTAGAATTATTTTATATCTGAGATTCACAAAGAAAGTGACAATATTTTATGCCCATGGAACGTAATGATCATAAAGCATATAGATAGGATTCCGTGTTTTTTTAGATTATATTTTGTGAAATGCAGAGGGTGTTTTTCGGAGTTTATTTTTTGCCAGAAATTCAGTGTTTATCGGAGTTTCTTTTGGTTAGATTCCCAATTCTCCAAAATTTTGAGTTAAATTTTACTCTGTTCTTATTTTATTTTAAACCCTTTCCTTACCGCACCCAAGTGCCATCAATCAGCCATAATCGATGGATTGTGCGCGCCGCTAAAATTCAAATTTGGTGCACTGGTACATGTTAAGCCATCTGGGGGTAGCTGAAGAACTATAGTTTCCATTTCGATGTAGTTTCTTTTTTTCATGTAAGGCAGCGAATTATCAGCAATAAATCACCGGCGCAAAACAAAACCTACTCTTGTTACAAAATGGCATTGAGCGTGTGTCGGGTGCTTCCTGAAAAAGCTTTGTGAATTGCCTGATTCAGCTACGTCGCCTGCGAAAGTTTTGGATGAAACAAGCAGTGAGGTGTCGGAGGATGATATCACATCGCCTGATTTTAGCTCCGACAGCGACAGCTCGTCAAATCGATCTGGAGCTTCAACAGGTGCTTGAAGTGAGCCTCCTTCAAGCATGCATATTGGTCTTGAGCCCGTGCACCTGTTCTATATACAGTAATCGCTCGTTATAATGAACTCAACGGGACGGCAAAAAAAATTAAGTAAGCGGTAATTCAATAATTATTCAAAAAATGTCTGTACTTTGAAATAGCCAAACCCCTGGTTGCATGAAACATTCAGCTTCCTTCTCCATCTTATGAAATCTAATGGTTCAAATCTTTCACTGTTGTAAAAAAACAACCCCTCCTACCTCTAAAATGCACAAATAGTGTGGTTCAATCTGGAAATCGGAACAGTGGCTTTTGTCAGGGTCCAGAAGTAGATTGGCCCATTGTACTGTACAACCCTTGACTAGATAAACAGGAAAGTCCCTTTTGTCGATAATTCAAGATAAAAGGAAAAGTGCTTTTTATTTTGCCATTGTGACATTTGTCGAACATTTTTAACACTGAGTGTTTTTCGGAGTTTATCGGATTTATCCAAAAACACAGATACCTGCATCTAACTTAGACTCGCAAAATAGTTGTCATGCTATGTTATTCTATTTTTGTAAGTTTCCGGTCCAAAGTAACTATGACAAATCCATAGTTTGGTTCAATGGACACATGAACACGTCTGGGAGTGCGCTTCTTCTAATTCTTTGCACTGCGGGAAAACAGAATAACAGGAAAGGGGAGATATGTGAAATGCACTACCTCCAGTTGGTGCAACTGGTGAGCATGTCTTTGAAACTCTTGTACCTTTTCCCGCAGACCACGAAAAATGCACGTGATTGGAGAAAATGCAACAACCGATAATGCAACTGGATGGGAGTAAATGAATGGGAAAGCAACTTTTGCACAGTGGTGCATTCTGCATTGTACGTCTGTGGGCTTGAAGCTCCCACTTGCACGAATCCAGTGAAACTGAAAGTAAATGGAAATAGATAACGTGCGTCGGGCGGAAAAAGGATGCCAAAGAGCCGCTGTCCAAGGCCATCGATTGGCACACTCTTACCAGAGCCGTGTATACAGAGAGTTTGGTCAATGGGAGGCGCGGGCAGAGCCAGGGCGTGCACCAGACGCAGATAGTGGGCTAGACATACTCCCTTGGCCAACCAAAAGCCTAAAAGAATCCCCTAGCGGTGGTAGCGGGAAACTCTCTTGGTCCAAGGTATATGTTGGTATATGGTTCTAATTAGCGCAGCGCGTAAGAGTGAAGTGTAGTAACCCTTTATGGTTGAAAATAGGATGCACGTGATGTTTCGATTGTGATCATGCAGAAAGTTGTAAGAAACGTACGCGCCGCTCAACTCTGTTTTGCTCAAGTAGAACGTGACCGTTCGGACGGCAGATTCCCGGCCCTCAGCGCTTGGCGTACGAATTATGTCGACCGTTTCACTAGTCGCGCTCTTCTACCATGACTTTGAATGACCATGATTGAAACATCACGTGCATCCTATTTTCTGTCACCGAGAGTTACTCCGACTCACTTATCAGGTTTGTTTGTCACAACCACCGCCAGGTTATTATTTCCGACTTGATTGGCCACATTTGAATTTGTGAAGACGCCCTAGAACACGCCCAGCCCGCTTTCGGCCAATGGCGCCTCCTCATTTGTCTCCTATACTTCCCAACGAATGGCCAAACTCTCCACATACACGGCTCTGACTCTTACTCAGAGCCATATACGCACTTCAGCAGCAGCACCACCCCTTAAAGAGCTGGTTGGCGCAGCGCAAATTCTTGCCCAGCTACCGTGGCTTTTTGCTTTTCCTCGTCTTCCAATGTTCCACCGCAATGTTGCCAAGGTTACATGCAAAAAAGCAGAGCCAGCTCGTGGCATCTGATGTGGCGAAGCCGAATCTGTCGAGTGCAGTGCGACGGAAACTTTCCTGGGGAAGCCGACTAAAGCCAAAAGGTGCTGCGGTATAGCACAATAAAGGTTTTATTTTGTGCTGAAATTTTGGCACACCTCTTTCTGGTCATTTTTGCAAGAGAAATTTCTCAGCTTTGGCATTTTGTTTTGTTTTCTCAGTGGTGCCACTTTGAGTTTGTTTTATTCAATGTGGGCTGAAAGTTAATTGAAATTAGTGCAGCAGGAGTGTGCAACAAATAATAGTTTGCTATATCTGATACTTTGCTATTCTTGGGTTCGTTATAAATAGGATCCTTATGATGCTATTCCTGTGTTCCTAACAAAATTCAACACTCCACGATTCTTGCTGTGATTGTGGAACCTCTCTTTATTTAGTACTGCTGGTGCAAAAATAAATACAAATGCTAAGAAGGAAGAAATCTGTTAGGAATTCACTTTTTGAAACTTGTGCAGCAGTTGGTTTCTCTTTTCCTGCTCATGCGACAAAAGCACCGGTTGTTTCCTTTTTTTCAGTGCTGAGCACGGGGACCTCTTGGCTGCCGCTGTGAGGCTCAACTTGCCCCTTGCAGATGATGTGCTTTCTCTGTTGAAGGAAGAGATCTGTCGAGGTAGGAAAGGAAGCACATTTCTCCTTTCGCAACATCACAGACTCAACACTGGCACACTTTCAGTGGTGTGATTGGTCCAAGTCATTGTGAGGCAGCCAAAAGTCTATTTTGGAGCAGCAAAAACTTTTGGAGCACGAGCACACACTTCATTTTCATTCCTACCACTCTGAATATGATATGTTAAGATTTATGTATTGACTTGTCCAACTATAGAAGACACTGTCTACTTTACCTTAGCAGTTCTGTGGAACCTTTTGTTAGCTTAAAGGGCAACTTCGCTTCATTTTTGGTTTTGAAAAAACAATGCAGTCCTCTTCAGTATCACCTAGGAAGACCACACGTGAAATCTTACGACGCAGTTCTGTCTAAATGTTTCTTAAACGGTCCGGCAAACTTTGCAACTCGCCAAGTTGCCGAAATCGGCTGACTTGAGCGGGCGAATTCAGGCGCAACAAACAGCGCAGTCAAGGCTACGGCATGGGCGGAGCCAACATTGAGCTAAACGCCATCTACATGGCCCCCTTTTGCTTGTTTTCACTTCTCCGGGCGAGCGTAGCGCATGACGTCAGCAACGTTGCCTCTCGGCGCTCAGCAGTGTCCACATGATTGACGTAACGCGCCTGCGCAGCGCGTTTCTTGGGAGCCGTCCGGCCGCCCGCCGTGGTTCCGCCGTTACCACTGTCTTCCGCGTCACAAACCGCCGTCGTCGTCTCACCGATTGTGATTATTGTCTCTCGGAGTTTCGTCCACACTACGGACACCACGTGCGCGCACACTTATGCCGCAGTTGTGCAGACGTCGTCGATTGCCGTAGACGCCAAAGCGTGGCGAAGAGTGCGGTGCAGACGACACTCGCGCCTGCCACACGCCCGCCCCAATCCCGCCCGTCGTTGGGCCGAGGATCCGTGACATCTCGTACCCCGTGATGGCCATGTACTTGGCAACCCGAGGCCAATGTTGCCGGGCGGAGCCGAAGTTTCGGTTTCGATTTCCGCTCGTGTTTAAAATCAGATTTAAAAATATATATCCCATTTTTCGTGAAGCAAACGACGTAGTGTGTTTTACTAGGGCTTTTTTAATTCGAAATCAATCATTATCCCGAAATCTTCGGAATTGAGCGGAGTTGCCCTTTAAATTCCACAGCAGATTTGATTCCCTCAAACACAGCTCTAGCTAGCTGTTCAGTTGCATGCAGAGGCACCAGGCATGGCATGGCAACAACAGTGAACTATTTTAGGTATGAACTCAAAGGTAAATCAAATTTCATATTCCATGGGAATAATGTTAGAATAATATTGACCCTCGAAATGGATGTTTCATGCAAGTTCTAAAGCAGTGGTTTTCAAGTATGGATGTGTCGGGGACCCCTTGGACACCCGCCAAAGCGATGGGGGACCCCATGCCAGGCAGTAGAAGGGGAATGGGGAGTATATAAAATAAGACAACTAATTGCAGTGTGAAAAGTGCATCCTTACTGTTATAGACAGGGGAAGCGAGAAGCATCAAGTAAATGGATGGATAGATGGTAATGGCTGTACCCTTTATAGCAGGCTGTAGCTTGCGCCACCTAGCCAGGGTCAATTCCAAATTTATTTTTTTTCTTTTCAAGAAAAGAGGGAGGGGGGCTTTAGGGTTGAGGTGAGGGCTTTGTGGACCCCCAGCAGGTCTGCAGAACCCCATTTGAGAACCACTGTTTTAAAGGTTCTAGCAAAACTGCAATTCTTAATTTGGATTAAAAACGGAGCTTTTCTCATCTGGTTGTGAAAATCATTTGCATTTTATGTGTAGAACTTCATGACGAGAAAATTAGGCATATGAACGTCAACAATGCATTCTTAAAACAATCCAGCCAAACCTATTACTGTTATTACCAAGCTTACATCCACTGCTTCATCAAATTTAGTTTTAATTTACTCTTATGACTTCGTCAATGCACGGATATGGCCGATGCAAAGGTGATAAGTAAACAAAAGAGTTGGCATAAAAATTAAACCTATAGAGCAGTCCAAATAAAGCTTCTCGCAATACTAAATCTTGGCTAAATCTCAAATTAGAAAAGAAAATATGCCAAAATATTGCAGTCTATCATAAACACTAGCTGCATTTTTTCTGTAAGATCCCCCACTCCCGAAATATGACCCGCCCCTATGTTTTGCTTGATTTGCTATATCTTTTTAAACACCGAAAGATAGCCCACTTCTAGTAATAGTAGTGTTCCAATCAATGATGGCCTCGGCATAAATGCGGCTAATTAGCTATGGTAGGATATAAGCAATCATTGATGACTGGGAAGTAGTCATCTTGGCTTCGTTGCCCCATTCTTCTTGAATGTGCATCTTCAACTTTTCTTGATTGTACACCGAAAGTTAGCCCACTCCATATTTTCTCCTGATTTGCTCTTGATTTTAGGTGGGCTATCTCGGGATTTTACGGTATTCAGGAATGTTTACTGCAAGGTAGAGTTGTTACATCAGCACCCTCAAAGTTCTTTCTTTATAAGTATAGTCAATGCCTGCATGTGCAGCATCCCACTCTGTGCTTCCTCATAGCACGCGGGTGTGCTGCGGCGAAGCAAGATATGCAAATTCGCTATGCCTTCTTCGCGGTGAAGTGCACTTAACAAATCTAGCCAACCCACCAAAACAGACTATGAACATGAGAAATACTGCGAGACTTCAGAGTACTGCCAGCATTCAATACATAGATCGAATCAAGTTGTATGTAATTTGAAGCGATAATGGAAAGTTCCGAAAATTTGCACACACCTACAGTAATGATCTGGCTGTATAGCGGGGCCTGAGTTATTATATATTTTCAGTGTTAATAAAGTGAAATGCTGAGCACTTCGGTGAAGTTTGGCACAAATGGCGCAGCAATCACATGGCCGCACTTTCTCCCATCAGGATATCATCCCACAAAGACGGAACGGGTTCTCAGAATGAGCACGGCATGTGCGAGCAACACGTTGTCCCTCTCCTTCATGCTTCCTAGCCTTACAGAGAGCTTTGTGAGCTCCATTCGTGGTGAGTTTTTTTTCGTCTGCAGTTTCTTGGATTGCTGCAAACTCTCGGAAACCGCCCCCTAAGTGGGCTTCTTGGTGCATTCATTATTTTGTGGCCAGATAATAGAGCTCCCTATCAGAAGCTGCTGGCCAAGTATCTGTTGGATGTCGTTTGCCGAGCGGAGAAATGCGGAACGACTGTCCACCATGCCGCTCTGCTGCGGAGTGTGGTTGCAACTTGGATTGAGAGCCTTGGATCAGAACAGCGAACTGCTGCCATTGAGGATTTCGTGGAGGCATCATTGTTGGTGCAGAAACTAGCTCAGATGTGTAGTGCAAGGTTGGTGTTACCTTTTCATTTGTAAACCACCCACCTTGAAGTGAGAGATGCTAAACCCCGCTTTTCACTTTTCAGTGACATTCGAGAAATCTATTCCACTATATTGGAGACCTGCCTGAAAGCAAATATTGTGAGTTTGTGTTTTTTATGACATTATCGAGAAGTGTGCTCATGGTTTAAACCTGTGTGCATATGATTTAAGCCTGTGTGCATGGGATTTAAACAAAGATTATTGAAATCTTGCAAGTTTTGTGGAGATATATATTTGCTGGAAATTATTCAGTCAAATGGATCTTTATGAATGGGTTGTGTACAGGGTGTTTCATTTTAAGCTTAAGCTTGGGGCACTCAAGTGCTTTTTGTAGAAGCTTATTTTTGATGGCATATTGTTTTGCTTTAGTCAATAAAAATGATCAGTTCTAAATGGCAAGACGTCCTAGGAAACTCGCAATAATAGAAATACACGGGCACTATTTTCTCTTTTTGAAGGGGGGGAAGGGGGGGGGGGGGGGGGTGATCGGACCGGATCGGATCGGGTCCGCACTATTTTAACAAATATTGATGAATGAAAATGGTTAATTGTGTGAAATAGTTCATTGCGTGGTGATTATGAACGTTACTATTATTGCTCTTTTTAGGCCCATTGCGTATTATATTTTGATAGAAATGTCAAATTGTTAAGTGTAGGAGACATTAGTCGTATACAGCAATTATTTGAGAAAACGCCGTCTGATGGCACCCCCTGGTGTCTGCTCCGAAACGCAGAGAGAGGGCTGTGTCACAATCTTTGATTAGATATTAAATAGGGAAATCGGCCACTTATGAGTGTGATTTCGGGTTTTTTAGGATGCTTAGAGCCCATAAATTGAGTTATCACCATAAATAGACGATTTCAGAATCCAGTGTCCCTTAAAGGGGCCCTGCAACGATATTGGGTAGAAAGGTTTCTCACCAGTTTACTGGCAGTAGTGGAACCCAAGAATATTCGACTGCAATGCCACTGACCAAAAAGAGTCTTCGTTGTGCTGGAATGCCAAGGATAAAAGCGGTCTTTTTCTCGTAGTCTCTCCTTCGCAAAACTTTATGACGGAGCTGCGGGGACAATGCCAACAATGCGATCCTCCGGAGTGCGTCATCAAGCTTTGCGATTCCTGCTGTAACAATGTTTAAATGCTGCTCATACAGTGGACTCGAGGAATGCGTAGGCATTCGATTTTGACTCGTGACACTAAATGCCTCGCCATGCATTCAGGTAGTGACTCGTGTCCAATTGCTGGGACGACGGGGATAGCCGACCCTTAAAGGGACACATGCAAAGGAAATGAACTGGTAGGCCTGTGCGCTGCGTCGCCGCCGCCGCAAACTCACGCCGCCACCGCACGCTGACAGCACGTTTCTCCACGCCGGCGTCGCCGCCGCCGCACAAGTTTGTCTGCTTCGGGGCGCCGCTGCCGTCATCTGACCGGCGCACAGGTCTATCACATCTGCTTGCGCTTTTTCACGAGTTTCCTTTGGGCTCTAAAAGTTACCTATTCATCTTAGTTTTTTGTTATACTTCAAACAAAGATGAATAAGTTACTTTCAGAGGCCATAGGAAGCTTCCGAAAGAGCGCAAGCACCATGTGATGAATAAGGGCGAATCACGTGATAAATAAGGGCCACTTTTTTGCGGCGCCAGCTGGCGCCAACTACAAATTCGTATAGCGCCGTAAATAAAGCTCTAAAAATTGTTTTTCTTTGTTGTAAAATAATTTTATGACATCCTTTTCCCATCTAAGCCGTTGAAAAAAATTTTTTTTTTCCTTTGCATGTGTCCTTTAACAATGCGTGGAACTCCGCGCGCGCCCTGTGCTCTGCCAACCCCAATGCAGGACTATGTTGAAAACTTTGGCGGCATATAATCGGCTCCAGATCACGTGGCCACTTTTTCTGGCTGCGAGTTGAAGACATAAACGGTGTTCGTTTTCCTAAAATTTTTTCTGCGGCTGCCATTGCGTAGAAAAAAAAAAGCAACATGTGTTTGATAGGGTATAAATGTGAAGGAATAATTGCAAGCTGTATTTATTGAAAGTGGAAAAATTGCATCGCCCCTTTAAAGGGACACTGACACCCCCAAATATGTTTTTAATTTTTTTGCCAGGCGATTAATAATGATGTCGGAAGACTACTCATTTATTATTTCTCTACATCGTCACATATATTTTCAGTAAAGCAAAAAAAATGCAACTGCTGAAAATCAAAACCGAAACTGGACGGGGGTATAAAGCAATATAGAGGAGGAGAGCGTTGCCAAAATTTATGTGGCTGTGCAACTTTTTTTTTTTTTCAATCAGCCCTTTTGCAGCGTTTTAGAAGTCACAAAAATGGGTATCATATTTCTTTTTCTATCTTGATTATTGAGTGGGTGGCTTCGATGACCCACGACTTTGATTATATTTGGTGGTCGTGTCTAAACCATAGAAAATGGCACGTGACTGCAGCGAAGAGATTGAGCGCGACTCAAACCGGCCAGTTCTGATCGGCGATTTTCGGGCAGAAAGAAAATGAATTTCAAGCCTCAAATTATGTTCTGGGTAGTTGGGCTCTCATGTGTCATGAACAAATAAAAACCTTGGCAGTCATAAATGCACTCTCACTGTCCCTTTAAGACCTGCAGAATCGTCTACTGCCAGGAAGAAAACCAGTTCCCAGTTTCCTTCTCTCCATTCCCTCTCACACTCTTCTTTTCAACTCTCCCCACAGGAGCGGGTCTTTGAGCTACTCCCCGCAGAAAGGAGGAGGACCCCCTCCTTTCTCGAATGGAAAGGAGGAATTGAGGGAGAGCCTCCTCCTTTCTGCTTTTGGTTGGCCTATAACAGAAGTTTCTAAAAAAAGGCTGTGAAAGATACACTAATGCGCTCTGTACAGGCGAGTTCTATTGCCAGGGGGACATTATATAGGGACTAACTGTCACGATAAGTCAGATAATTAACTAAAATTGGTTGCTTAACTTTTAAGTAGCGAAAATAAATAGATGGTTTAAATTGGAAACTTGTACAGCATCATTGAAAACTACTGAATCAATCTATTGTAGAAAGATTTGGTGCACATGCTTCGTTTTTTTTTGGTCCCAAAAATGCATTCAAATGAGATGTGCCCGCAAAGTTTTTCGTTTTTTATCAGCTGCGTTTTTGCACTGTCAGTCTTGCACCTTAGTGCAAGTGGTATCTTTAGCGCACCACCGTTCTTTTTACATGCTCAAAATTTTTTTTTAAAATTTATTTACGGTAGTAGTTTTTAATGATACTTGGCAAATTTAAAACTGGATGTATGGTTATTTGCACTAATTAAAAAGTTAATCAACAAATTTTTATTAATTATTCGTCTTATCGTGATGATTAGCCCCTGGGCCGTGTAACTCACCTGTACAGACTGCATTACAGTAAAACCTCGTTATAGCAAAGTTGAAGGAGCGGTCGTAATTATTTTAGTTTGTTTTAGCCAATGTTCATTTCTTCCCACTATTAGCAAGCAAGGGGAATTATGATTGCTTTGTTATATCCATTAGTTTGTTATATCCAATTTTGTTATAACAAGGTTTTACTGTAGTGTAGCTTTCACAACTTTCTTTTTTAAATCTGTTAAATTCAGAATTAAACATCCTGTACGAGGATGTCATTACCACGCTTCTCATCATTGTCATCATCATTGACCCGCATTCCATTCATCAAACTTCGTCAGTCATGATCACGCCGGATGAGCTTTATGAAGCTCATTCAGCCTTTAGCTAGCTCAGGTTCGAGCTTAGCTACAGGCGGTTGTAAATTAAAATTTTTCTGGGCAGCAGCCTGTTCCACTTGGTCTGAATCCTTGCTCACAATATTTTGAGACTATGGATGAATCAATGGGTAAGGTCGGTACACTGAGGTAAGGTCGGCTATGATGGCTTCTGCCAGATTGTTCAAAGCAGCGTTTCATCAAACACGAGATGCACGGGGCTCTTTAGCACGAGCCCCACTACTTCCTTTCTAACATTATATGCAACAGAGTAATGGATAAAAACAAAAAAACTTACACTAAACTTTTTCTTCTTTTGCAATGTTTTTAGTTCGTAATGTGCCTCTCTCATTGCTTTTTCTTAAAGACTTAACAGAAAAATATTTCTGCATGTAGTACAGGCAGGTTTTGTCACAACAATCTACTCGGAGAGCTCGTTGATGGCTTCGATTTTGTGGAAACCTTTCAAACATGAAAGGCCACTAGGATCTGGGCTGCAGCCCACTCCCACGAATGGTGGGTCGCCGACCGCCGCTTGTTGTGTGGCATAAGGCCAATAAACTGTCCTCAAGCTTGTGTAACACCCCCCCCCCCCCCCCTTTTGTGCTCCACCATAGCCAAGCCAGCCCCTTCTGTTGCTGGTCCAGTCTGTGATCTGCCACATGCCAAGGGAAGCAATGTCAGCAGACGAACGTCTGGTGCAACTTCTCTCCGACGGCCGGCTCCACGATTCCAGCCATCTTGCTGGCAAATGCCTCGCGGGACTCGTCAATAAGCTGACTGCCGGGGACGTGGAGAAAGTGCTGCAATGCCTGCAGTCCTCTTGGCAGCCACAGTGGACCCTTGCAAAAGCAGACCTGCTGCTGTGGGTCACAAAAGGGTTGCTGCTCAGAGGATATCCGGATTTGGCAAAGTACACAAATTTGGTGAGACTGGTTCATCGAAGGGCAAAGGAATGGCTGTATCCCTCCAAAGAGCAATTAAATTTAATGTTTGCATTCTAGGATGTTATCGTTTTATGTTATTTGAGTTTCCATTGCACAAGCTCATTATAAAAAAAATTGTATGTACTATATAGTACCTTCTGTTATTGTTTTTTTTGAGTTGCACATGTCTGCCTCATGTTCCCAATACTTTGTTTTGAACCATTGTTAAAAGTGCTAAAAAAAGGGAACACAAGAGAAGACAAACACTGTCTTTTTAGCGCTTTTAACCATGGTTCAAAACAGTCATCACCAACTAGCCCACTAACGAGTACTTTTACTGTTCCCAATATGTTTTTGTTTGTCTGTGCAGCAATACTGTTTGAGCATGTTATATAGACCATTCCACTCAGTGCTCTCAGGGCGGTGACATTTTATTACATCCGGGCATTTCTATGAATGGGGCGCGGTAAAAGAGGGAGAGGGCACGCACCCGATCCCTATGGCAGTCGACAAACCGGCCATTCTCCATTTTTGGCCAGTCCCCACGGGGTGTATTAAATATCTAATGCTCCCTCGCTGCTGCCGCTGTGAGGTGGTTCGCATCTCTATAACATTTACGACTACTCCTGGTGCAGTCTATTGTGATCTGTTCTCTTATTTCAGTAAACAATGAGCTAGCGTACCTTCATTTGGTTACTTCAGTAGCAATGGCATTCACTGGCTGTACTACACTCAACCGCTGCGTCTATTGCGTCTGTAGAAAATATAATCCCAGTGATGGAAGTGCTGCGCCATTTGTGCCATATTGCACCATGTAAGGAAGTCTGCTACATCTCTAGCCAAAGCGTCATTTTTGCTCAAAACTAAACCATACCTATGCCAGGATGGGCTTAAAGCAAAATATAAAAATAATTTATTATTGGTCGGCCCAAATATTTCGAAAAGCAGAAGGGGAAAAAAATGGTATGAATATATTTCACGGCGTTACTCGCCATATAATTTGTTTTATCTTAGGTCTGAGCACAATCGAAAGCTTGAACGCATACAACCTTGAACACACATTTTAAAAGTGTCTCACTGCACCCGATTGGTTTAGCCGATGAAAAAACATGTATAGGGAGATGAATGTCATGATGTCATGCATTTATGCTGTTTGATTGGTCCCATTGGCTCGTAGAGTCAGCTGTAGTGTCGACTTCAGGTGAAACAACAAGTATAGGGATTGTTCGTCAGTCACTCTGGCAGGTTGATGCACTGGCCAGTTGATCGTCGACATTGTCTAAATTACCAGATGATGTCTGCGAGGTCAGGACTAGAAGTCTCGAGAAAACTTTGCAAAATAGTAAGATGGTGGTATACTGTGATAAGACAGAACCAGGATCTTGTGCTCCTGGTGAAATCACTCGATTATCATGTGTACTTCGTGCCATGACTGCAGAGTCCCGTGGCACCTGTGCCGCTCCCGTCAACCTTCACTACATCTCACCACATATGAGCGTGCATGCGTCGGGCTTCACCACTTTACACCGGAGTGCTAAAAGCAGCGGCTGATGTGTCGGAGGGTTAGCTCAATAGGCACGGAATTCATTCTCAGGATTATTACAGACCGACCTTCTTTGTCTTCATTGCAAAATAATCTCTAATAATAATTGTAAAAAAATGCCAAAAAAACACGCGTTTTTCTGGCATTTTGAATTTTTGAATAATTACGGTAGTTCTTGTGCAGTTGTCGAATGAACGAGCAGCTAACTTTGATTTAACTCTAGTTCCAACGCCGCTGAAGAGCAGTGTATATTTGTCGGTGGTTGTTTTTGTAGTTTATGATATTAAAGTTTTGAGTTTGGCAGGTTCATAAAACTTGGGGGACGCGTTTTTATTGGTGCTGGTCTGCAAAAACCAGATATGCTGGTTTTTGCAGGCATTTTGCAGAAATTATATTTACAGGCCAATTAAACTACCAAGTGTAGAACGGGGATGGGAGGGGGGCTTTATCGCAACTGAAGGGTTGGGCTATGATTTATTTTTCAACCATTTTTAGTGCCCATTTTAAATGACTCCACTCGGGCCTTATTTAAAAAAAGAAAGCTATTTATTCTTTTTGCATCCTATTTATTTTTAGCACGAAATGTGATAAGTAATATGCTCCAGTATCAAAGGGGAGCTGGCAATCATTATCACAGAAAAACTCATTTAGATATGCAATCACTTTTTTTTTTTTTTCATTTGCATCTGCTCCAAAAGCGTCGGCGGCTGTTCCATACCAATATTTTGAATGCTACAGAACCTGCTACAAAAGGTTCAAATGCTGCTTCCATCACTCTAAACCTGATTATGCAGTTCCGAGTTTGAAAAAAAGCCTTGCTTGGTTTTTGTGAAATGCCATGCAAGTGTAAACTTTTTCTTGCCCCAGGGTCAGAAACATTAAAACCCAGAGTGATTTTCCTTGTGTGTTACTAGCCATATGTAATAGGATTTTGTTAGCCAAGGAAACGCCATCAGGTCGAGGTTAGGTTTTCGGCGGTGCGTTGAAGTCAATTGCCCACTCATTAGTTGCTTTCCATGTACCACCTACGTGTAAACATCACAAAAAGTTATTTTGGTTAGAAATAGATCACCACAAACATCTGCAATAATGTAAGCCCTATAAGGTCTTCATATCCAAGGCTAGCAGGCAATGTGTGGATTCATTGTTTGTTCAAATACAAGTTGTGCAGTTGTTGTTTCATACTTAAAGAGCATGTTTTCCTTTCTCTTTTTTTTAGCCTAGACTTCCCACATATAGACCTCTTTTGCTTACTCTCGTCCCAAGCCACCTGATAGGTATATCCGGTATGGGCGACAAAAAAATAATGAAACATTTCAGCCTGTAATTAGTAAAAATATAAAGGGGAGACATTTCGAGAATGGGTGGCGGTTATAGCTTATATCTTAAATGTATTCTATTGGCGTGGCGACGGCAAAACAATGTTTTCACCCATACTGTAAGTGGCAATATTTCAAGATGGCAGCGCCCTTGCGAAATAGGTCTATAGTTGCTAAATGCCAAAATCAGTATGAACACTCACTTGCAAAAATCTGCTGCAGCCGCATTCACTTTTCACCGGCGATGACGGACCAACCACACTTTTTCCAAAGTTGTATTTACTTTTTTTTTTATTTGCTTGGCAGGTGACAACAAACAGGATTGTGCCTGGTTAGTCTCTTTATCGGGTACAACATTTTACATTAACTTGCACGTGTAAATCCGCGCATTTTCGCCGAAACGACGTGATTTTCAATTGTGTTTGCACGCCAACCGGACGTCGGGTACTGCCCAGTCTGCAGAGCAAACAATGTGCCAGGTTGAGAGGAGAGAGGTCATTTTCCTCTTTGCTCTTTTTAGTGGAATGGTCTATACAGTGTGTCCCCCTGAAATATTTACAGTGTGTTTTTCGTTGCAAAAATTAATTACACAAGAAAATATTTACAGTGTGTTTTTCATTGCAAAAATTAATTATGCATTGCCAAACACACAGTCTCTGCTCAAATGTAGCACAGTGGTCCGGACTAGATGCGAGTTTCAGAACTAACCGTTACCTTATAAAAAGCTGTGTTTTTTTGGGAAGTTCAGTGGGAAAATGGGGCCCATTCCTGGTAGCTGATGCCATTCAGCTCCATGTATTTGTGGGCTTCAGCCGTCATTTTTCTATTGAAAATTTCCAAAAATTGCCTATAACTTTTGAATAAGACAACGGTTAGTTCTGTAAATTTGGCATCAGGTCTGGACTGCTAGCACTATGTGTTCGGCAAGTACCTTAAAATCCCTTAAGATACCTAAATACCCACCTAAAACCGAGAGAGAAAATTTTGTGAAAATAAGAAGTGGGCTATTTTTCGGTGTGCAATCAAGAAAAGTTAAAAAAATGCTCTTTTTACATCATGTGTCTGTCACACTTGTTATCGCGGCGAGGGGGAACGAAGCAAAAATGACTGTACTTCCCAGTCGGCAATGTTCGCTTATGTCCCACCATAGCTAACTAGACGCATTTACGTTGAGGTAATCATTGATCCGAACAGTATGACTACTAGGAGTGGGCTATCTTCTAAAGAAAATAGCAAATCAAGCCAAAAATAGGGGTGGGTCACCTTTTGGGGGTGGGGCATCTCTCAAGATTTTACAATAGTGGTTTGTTTTTGCGGCGAAAAAAACAAGCTTTTTTTTCGGTGACACCTTGTAGATTGGTTGGCACAATATTGAGAGATTTGTGTTACCTCTTCTCACCATCTCTCGAGCATACTACTATTAAATAAAATAAGCACATGAATAATTTAAAAAAACAACAACATAATTTTCAGCTTGAACAACTGCTGAGGGACGAGAATGTTGGAAGGCATACAGCAGAAGGCTTCGACGTGATTTTACAGCCAGTTGTAAGTTTCTTTTTATGTATGGCCGTCCCTGTGCATCTCCATTTGGTCGTTGACAAGACGGCACGAAATTGGGTGAACTCGAATGCTCAACTTTTGCTGTTTGTGTTGAAGGTGCTGACAAGCGAAGGACACTGTGTACTACGGCTTTTGCATCCACAGAGGTTCTTCGTTGAGACTGCACCAATCCTCATCCAGGGTTTCAATAGTGCCACAAACAAAGGTGAGAAAAGCAATACAGTGATGTCTTGTTAATAGGGACCCGTTAATGGACCGCCCTTCCTCATGCAAATCTGCCTCGTTAATGTAGAAACCCACAGTCTGGATCATGGACAGCTAGAGTTTAGCAACGAACTGGGAAAATACATGCATTTCTGTCTTATTATTATGGACACAAGCTTCTTTGTGAACCCTTTGGGGTCATAGAGTACACCAAGAGCTTCACTATTACTGTCTGCTGTTGGTTGACTTTCCTCAGAAAAAGACAAGACCTGGGTCCCAAACAGTGGTTAGATCTTTTGGGGGGGGCTTTCCAGCGAAATGGGTAAATTCCCCTTTTCTCTTTATGTGTGTCATGGCTGCGGATGACAAACCTGAAGTGCATTCATAAGTCTGTGTAACCCTTGTGCATACAAGTGAAGGCTGGACACTTCCCTCGCCACTTAGAAGGAAGCAAGGATATGTTGGGTGTGAAACGGAACTGGCCATAGACCATGGCAAGTGTAAAATGTAAGCCATTGCTTTTCTGAAGCGAGGCGACATGGAGCTGTGCCTCTGAGGTAGCGGGTTTCTCTCGTTTTAGAGCGCAGCTCTTAGGCGCCCGTTTTCGGGGTTGAGCAGTGTCGGCGTCAGCATGACCGCACGCGTTGCATTATGGAAAATTTTCCCTCTTGATTTAGCGGAAAAATTTTTCGGCTAAATTTGGCGGGAAAATTTATTTGCTAAATTTAGCGGGGAAATTGACATCACCTTACCTCAACACCAATTCAGTTTTCTCGGTGAATTTAGCGGGAAATTTTTCGCTCTATTTCCCTGCTATATTTAGTGGGAAAATTTCTCCGCTAAATATAGTGGAGAAATTTTCGCTAAATTTAGCGGAAAATTTAGCAAACATTTCCTGCTAAATGGGGGGGGAGGAGGAGAAGGAGCATACCCTCCTCTCCGTACCCTCCCTCCACCTCCTCAAGAGCTGCGCTCTAATTCGGCATTACAGAGAATTGAAAACATACGTCTTTAATTTTTTTTATAAGAAAATAGGCTGTAAAACGTCTGTGCATACGAAAGGCTCTGCACTTCCTAAACAAGCTGTCTTTTTTGTACCCACGCGTGGTGTTTAGTATTTGTGATCTTGAGTTTGTTTTGTTATTATGGATGATTGTTCTGGGAACGGGGATGTCCATATTAATGAGGCACGACTGTGGACATTGCCCAGACTTCAGCATTAGCTTAATTGCGGAAGATTGTTACTGTGGTGCACTCTGTCTTGATCTGGCACTCTTTCTAGCGGTGAAAGACAATTTCCTGATGGCTCTCTGCTGCCAATTGAAGTATGTTCCAAAGGTGGTTGTAAAGAGCTACATCGATAAGGTAAGAGCATCATCTGGTGTGTTGTTGAAAAATTGCATCAGTGTATGCATAGAGACTAAGAAGACAAGTATCATACTTTCCGGACTATAGTCTGCACCCGCATTGCAAAGCCCAATTTCAGCTGAAAAAAATTTTTTTTGCCTTAGATAGTCTGTACTCGGTGTATAGACCATTCCACTAGGAAGAGTGGAGAGAGAAAAAATGTCCTCCCCCTCTCATCCAGCGCATCGTCTGCTTCTCCGGGTGGGCTGTACCTACCTAACATCCGGCTGGCGTTCAAATTCGGTTTAAAATCGTGTCATTTTGGAAATTTCAAGTGAAGATGCACAGCTTTTTTTTGTGTAATGCTATGCTTGATAAAAAAGACTAACCGGGTCCATTTGCGCCGTTACCTGCGTGCAAATAAAAAAAAAAAAAAAAAAAAAAATGAAAACCTTTTCAGAGTGGCTGGTGTCCAGCAAAAAGTAAATCTGGTTGCAGTAGCCTTTTTACTATACAAGGTTTGTACTGGTGTAGACTTTAGCGGCAGTGAGTGGAAGTCTGGAATAATAAGTAAAAATGTGCTTTCCTGACACAATAGGTGCAATGGCTGAAGGTAGTACTGCCGGCTGACTCCACTGTTATTGAAGTAGCGGAACAACTATTCGCTAGTTGATCATTTACTGGAATAAAATAGCAGAGCGCTATAGGCCGATTTTGGAGTAGCCATAAGTATTCTAAGAACGCGAACCACTTCACAACGGCAGCCACGAGCGAGAGTTCGACGTTCAGTACAACCCAAAGATGGAGGACGGCAACCACCTGGTTTGTCGTCTGCTAACGAAATCGGGCGCGTACCCTCTCTCGTTTTACCCCACGGAACCTGCTGAACTTCCCGGATGTGTGGAGAGAAGGCTGCGGTCGAACAAATTGGCGCCACCCTGAGAGTGCTAAATGGAATGGTCTATGGTCCGCAGGCACTAATTTATGAGGGTGAGAGAAACAGAGTGCTTGTATGACCTTGTTTCATTGTTCCGTTGAAACAAAAAACGAAAGCCCGGAACCAGTGACCTTGTGTATAGTCCGCACGGCATAAAATATCAACATTTAGGAAAAACATGTTGTGTATAATCTGCGCAGCTTTAAATGCCAACCTTTAGAAGAAACAAACCATGTATAGTCTGCACCTGAGTATATTCCGCACAGCACAAAATATTAACTTTTAAACATGTATGGTCTGCAGACTATACACCAGAAAATATGGTACTTCAACAATTGCTTCCCCAGAAAAGTAGACTACAATTCTCATTGCTTGCACCAGATCCTGGGCTTTGTTTAAAATAGGTTTTACCCTGATTTGCGAATTTGGAGTGTGTCCACCATAACATCTAGAGGTGCTAAAAACTGTTTTCAAACCTAAGGTTCAAAGATTGAACCAAAAGGCTTGAAAAGTTTAAAGTGTATTGACAGGTCAGACTTATTACATTAAAAAAATGTGACAATATTTTAACTTCAGAATTTCTTGCACTAAAGAATTCAATTGTTTTCGAATTTTCAAATTTGTTGCACCAGTCAGCCAGCCATATCTACAATTTTGGTACTTATCATGCTAAGAAATTCTACAATTTTTCAACTTCTGAACCTGCTGAGATTAAAAGTTTAATGAAGTTTGAACCAAGTTTATTCCCTGAAGCAGTGGTTCTCAAATGGGGGTCCGCGGACCCTTTGGGGTTCGCGAAGGCATTCTTGGGATCCGCAAAGCCCTGCCTCATCAGTCAAGCCCGGCAGTAAAAGTTCTTTTTTCAGGTCGAAAAGATATGTTTCAGTTTTTGGGCGTGTTTTCTTGTCTGTATGTGAAAAAGAGAAGTCTACATCACACTAGTCCATTTAATATATCAATGTTATATTTAACCTATACCTTTTCTCACCATGAACGGGGTCCTCCAGCATCTCTGCCGATCCCCAAAAGGTCCGCGAAATTTCGGCGGTTGAGAACCACTGCCCTAAAGCAACGAATATAAATAACACAAGATATGATTGTGTGGAGGGGTGTGGAAATTGCCCTGGACTTTCACTTTGCTGATCGTCCCACCAACAACTCTTTTTTAAAGGGCTGAGTGTCCTCAGCCTCGCACCTCGCGCCTGAGAGTTTTCCTTCACCTTTCGCACAGAGCCTCTCCCAAAAACAGCTCCATAGGTTGCCCCACGGTTATCTGCAAGCCATCGAATTTCTGGTCTGCGATTTGAAATTCAACAGAGGTGTTTCACTGGGGCATTCTTCATAACCTTAGTAATTTACGAATGCAAGTCCGCCGATTTTCCTGAGCAAGGAAATGCTCGGAGAATGGCGTGCTTGGAGCAAGACTCCGATGCACGATAGCGAACACTGGATTGGCACTAGCTCCATTATCATTAGTGACCGGCTGATATTAGAGCGGCCAATACCTCCCTTCACCGAAAAAGAAAAGTTTCGTTGAAGTATTCCTCTAAGGCCTTAGCCTTAAAGGGATACTTCAACGAAATTTGAAATATACCCGTAGTGTTCAGGAATAGGCTGAATATGATCCGAAATATCCATAAATGACAATCGCACATTTGTATTTTGAGCCTGATCGCTGTATTTATCGTTATAAACGACCCCCTCTGGCAAGCACTCGGAGAGCAGCTAGCAGAAAGCATGTCATATCCGCCGCAATCGTGACATAGTTTGTCTCGGGATGAGCAAAGCTGCGGCAAGGCTGACGTCGTCAGGATGCCCTAGCCGTTCCAGCCACCGAAGCGGTCGAAGCACACCAGCGATCGGGCCACCGCAACTAATGCAAATCTGCTTTTGTGTGAATTTTGATGGACGGGTTAATCTTCAATAATCTTGTAGAGGGAGAATAGCGACGTCTGGGACACACAAAAGAGAGTCCCATTGAGTGGGGAGTTCCTCCCTCCTCTCTTCTCTTGTGCTGGCCGTGGAGCTGTCGGCATGACGTCGGGTTCAAAGCATGAAGAGTTCTAGGCGAGACAGTTATCGTCACTACCTCTCAAATTTCCTAGACGGGCATTACAAACGAGGCATTAGCGACATCCACCATGCGCTCTTTGCTAATCGTTTAATTTGTTTTAAAGTTTTTTGTTTTTTTTTTGTATTTTTTAACAAGATATTGGTTTGTCCTATGTGATACTGCTTTTTTGAAGGGATGCTGAACCGAAATTTGAATTTCCCAAAACACGCGCAAAAGCGTGCAACGGGATGCTACAAATACCAAAACATCACTCATACAGCGATATCTCGAACGGATGACCGTATTTTTCAAAAAAGGAGGCGCATTTGGCAGGAATGTTGACGTGATGTTTCTCCGAGAAGGAGAGGGAACGGCCTCGCGTCTTCTCCGCCTCGCGGTCTTGAGGGAGCGAAGCAAAGAGAGGAGGAAACACGGTATCTTGACGTCACGCACCTCGTCGGCCTGGTTCAATCTCGACCTCTTTTTCCAAAAATACAGCCGTCCATTCGAGATATCGCCTTGTGAGTAGTGTTGTAGGGATTGTAGCGTCCCGCCTACATCTCCTGTATTGTTTTTTTGAAATCCAAATTTCGGTTCACCATCCCTTTAACGCTTATAGACCAAAAAATAAGTGCCAAAATTTCTTTGTAGTATTCCTTTAAAGGGGTGCTCTGGCGATTTTTTTAGCTACCCAAACTGACTGTATTTTGGGAATCTCAGGTATGCTATTTAGTATCGCAAAATTGCGAATAGTATATATGAAATTGGCAAGTGAAAATGATGCTAAAAGCAACATTCAAACATACCCGTGCTTTTCAGTGCCGTGACGTCAGTGCAAGGCAGGCTTGCTGGTCGAGCGGGCAGCCTAAAAATGGACTATGCCGAGCATTTCTTCTGTGCTGCTGCGCTGGTGCTAGAGCGAGCTTCCAAAGCATTCATTTGACACCATGAAACTGCTTGTAATCAGTTGGGAACAAAGTCTAGTCTAAAGAGTGAATGCCTGCCTTCCGCTGACGTCGCTTTTTTATTGCGCCTGCCAGTAGAGACTACTTTGAAAAAACATAGTGAGGATTAAAATTGTGAATTCAACAACTTTGCTAAAAAAATTATTTTGACCCAATATTTGGGTTACTATTTCAACAATCTTTGTTGGTGTGTTTAGCTGATTTTCAGGCAAATCTGGGACCAGATTTGCCTGAAAGGAAATGCCAGAGTACCCTTCAAGCTTCGCAGAGATCTACAAATTATTAGTGTACTCTGAATCCAACGACTGTGAAAACAAGGAAGTTACAGTTCCGAGTGAATGAAGGAAATGCTCAGTAAAGGCTCGTTCACACTCTTGCATTTGACTATGACAGACTAAGATGAGACCGGTTTTAAAGCCTCTCAAGATGGCTTACGACCAGCTGCATTGCTGTGCAGCCGGTCGTAAGCCGTTGCAAAAGGTTTTAAAACCGGCCTTGTCTTAGTCGGTCATAGTGAAACGCAAGGGGTCTAGTTCAGGCCGAAAAGTTTGAGGGTCTAATTCAGCCCAAAAAGAGTGCCCTCAGGTCATGAGGTTGAAGCACCATTTTTGCATAGTCTCGAAAAAAAAAATGAAAAAAGTGACCTACGTTACAGGCATGCATACATTAATTAACACTGTGCCCCTAAATAAACATGCATTTGTTAAGCAAATATATTTTATAAAGCATGCTACTGTGTTACTGGCACTGAAATTTGCATTCGGCATGGTGTGTGCACCAGTGAAAGAAACCTGATATTTAACTTTCCGAGCACCCGGCCTTTACCCTTTCTGGCAAGCTCTTTAGGATCTCTACATTCAGAATAGTTATTGTAAAATCGGTAAGCAAAGGTAGAGCCAAAACCAACATTCAAATATACCCACGCTTTTCAGTGCTGTGACGTCACTGGCAGGCTTGCAGGTTGGGCAGGCAGTCGAAAAGCAAGCAATATGCCGTGCATTCGTTTCGTGCTGCTGCATGCATTTGACCAACACCACCTAGGTTTGACAATTATATGGCAAGAAATTCTACTGTCCAAAGCCTGCTACTGACGTCACTTTTTCATTGTTACCAGGAGACCTTCAATTTGAAAAAAAGGAAAAGCAATGAGGGCCATAACTAAAAATTCAATAAATTTGCAGAAAAAAAAAATTATGTTGGCCCAATATTTGAGGGTCTAGTTAAGCTATATTTGTTTGTATGTTTGGGAACTTTTTAAACAAATCAGGGACCGTGAAAAAAAAAAAAAAATGTACCGCAAATTACCCTGCAATTGTGTTGCTACATGAAACATTTAGATTCACTGTTATGCTTTTTGTGGCTTCACTCTAAAAACTAGCCTAAGAATGTTTCCCGTTAAAAACGCCAGAAAACCCCTTCAAGGTCTTGTCTCGCCTTCCTTGGGCCTGCAGGTGCTTCCCATTCTCGTGGATGCCCTGAGCAGCGCTGAAGTGCTGGTGGTTGGTCAGTGTGTGCTGCCATGCCTGACAGAAAATGTGGCGCTTATGGTGTCCTGCCTCAACAGCGTCGTAGGGCAACTGTTACGGCTGGCCAAGCCACCCCAACCCATGGTATGAGGCTCGTCCTACGTTCAAGCCTTTGCACAACCCTGCTACATGCATAACTTTAAACCGGTTTTTCTTTCTTCAGTTTTGTAGTTGATTATGACGATGGCCATTTGGGGTAATGTACTGAAAGGTTTCAAATCTTGAGCATACCAGTTCAGTGGGGAAAAGAAATCAGTCACACCAAGGAGGACATAGCCAGTTGATTTCCAAAGCTGGAAGTGCTGTTAAGAAGTTGCAGGCGCAACACCTATTGCCAACAGTCTCGTTAAAGCCTTCCAAGCCTCCCGCTTGACCCTCCTAAAAGCACTAGGCATTTAAAGGGGGGGTACAACGATTTCCGGACTTCGGTCAAGCATTTCTGGAAGTTGCCCTCTGACACTTCTAAAGTAGAGAACAGAAAACCAACTTCGCCTGCGTGTCCTAGTTGTGTAAAAAAAAAGATAAATATTGGCATTTCGGGCACCCCTCAACTCGCTCCCAGTTTTCAGGGTCTCACCTGGTCCCCCTGCTAGTGACGTAAATCGGGGTGCCGTGTAGATTCCCGTGTGCTCTCTCGGAGGACGCTTCCGCTCCCTCTCTCTGCTGACATTAGCGGGCGCTATGCTGCAGCTTAGAGCCGAGCAAGGTCACGTAATCTTTTCGCCGTAGTTCCTTCGGCTGCCACTTGGGGCTGCAGGTGGGGGAAAAAGCTAGACTTTCGCTTTGCGATTGTGGAGTGGAATCGCAACATTTTTTAATGAACGGGATGTTTTCTGTATTCTCTGGGACACGATAAACAACGTAAAAATGACGAGATGCAAATTCTTTTAAGCTTAAAATCGTTGCACCGCCCCTTTAAAGTTGAAAAAACAATAAAAACGGATTGGGAAAGTTTCCTCTCGCTGTGCCATACAACATATTGGTCAAATCTAAAAAACCAGACCGGAAAAAAAAGTTTGTTTTTTACTTAGAACATTAGTGTTAAAGGGGGACCAGGTGTAATATTTTTTCACCGGGTGGAAAGTCCTCCTCGCCCTCTTTCTTTCTTGTATTGTATTGTAGCATGGCGAGGCGAGGGGAAAGGTCCCCTTTTGCGCCGGCTTCTTCTGAAAGGATAAGCCGAGAAAATCCCCTTTCTGAGCGACGGGCGATGGGTGTGGCAGCAGCGACCTCGTGACTTACAGGTATCTTCAGCTCCTATCGCGTAATCTGCCCTATTTTTTTGGCTCTCGCCAAGCCTAGCCCCTCGGGGGTAGGTTTTACGGAGCTGCAAGGCTGCGCCCTCGCAGTCACCGAATTCGAGCTGTCGAAGTTCTTTGGTTTAGCCCGTGGCAAAGTAAACGCATACTTGGGAGCTGCGATGCATCCCCACACACATTGAAGAATGTTTCATAGATATTCTCGGTTGATCAAGGAGCTCGGAACACATGCGCGAGATGTGGTGACTTTAATATGTAAGGATGACTTACATCTGCACAAAACATTCCATCTTCAGAAAAACGGCTTATCACGCTCAAACCTGCCTCAAATTGGGATCGATGGAAAAGAAAACGATGTACCAGGCGCGGGCATCTTGTAGAAGGTCTCTGTTTTCTAGCAGCGAGCACAAATTATTGAACTTTAGCAGACTATGTTTTCAGGCCACGCTATATTTAGCAGGAGCTCGCACTGCCACTTCGATGCATTCTCTGAAGCGCGCACTGAAGTGGCAGCGGGCCTTCGAAAACGATTGACTAAAATGCCTTGTTGTGTGCCTAACTCGTAGAACATGATGAAATTCATATTTACACATTCCCAACAACCACCTCAGGTAAGAGGGCATCAAGGGTGGATTCAATATTAGAAAGCTTTAGTGGGTCGCCTTTAGCCACTTCGATAACCATACTGTCCTACCCCACAACAAAATGTAAGCTAGACTCGCTGTTTACATTCTTTATCGAGTACGGCTATGGAGCGGTAAAGACAATATTAAACCCCTTTTTGGCAAGTCTAGCGTGTCGTGTGATGGTTCAACGTTGCTTGTATTGGTACCATAGCACGGGCCGCCACTTCGAAGTATTTGTGGTGTCTCAAAGAAACTAAAGCAAAGGCAGACACTTTTTTTTAACGTACACAAAATTGTATTTAACATCATGAAAAAACCCTACACCATAGGCGTAGACTACGGGGGGGCATCGGGGCTTGTGCCCCCCCTAGCAAAATCCGGGGTCAGGATCATGGCCCTTCCCCCGGGCCATGATCCTGACCGACATGCTGTTTACGCGCCATGTAACGAGCTTCTATAGTAGTGGCATGTAAACAAAATAACGCCCACGTTGCCTTTATTGACAAAATACATGGGAAATGGAATCCCAGGGTGCTTACGTTGGCTTCAATCTCCAGTTCTGGCGAGAAACTAACACGCAGCACTCCCCCCCCCCCCCCAAGAAAATGGAAAGTCTACGCCGCTGCCCTACGCCACACAGTTAGCACGAACAAAATATTACCGGTGTTTTCCACTTTTTTTTTTCTTGTTAGAAATTAATGATGTTTAGGAAACTGTTGATGCGAGTAGCCCACCTAAGCAGTAGATTTTAGTGCGAGCCAATACATTGTTGGGGAAAATAGCAAAAAGCGCCGATGTCGTGTTTGCGCTAATGTGTCGCGTAATGTACGCATATCGCTTCAAAATCAACGCTAACGGAGTGAATCAGTAAATTTAGTGGCCCCCAAAAAAGGGGTGTTATTTTATTTGGTTTTTATGGTTGAAAAGTTGTTATTTTTATACAAGCAAATCCGTAAAGAGTGCTTCCATTGGGCTCCAACTTACGAGGCATCAATTTGTTCTTATACACTAAATTCTGCATGGCCTTTGCGTAAAAATGTTAATATTGCGTTCGTGCTAGCTGTTTCACGCATAGTAAGAAGACCAGTTCATTGCTCGAACATTTAAACAAGGCCTTTCTTACGCCAAATAGATTTTGCGAGTACGCTCTATTACTGGTGGTTCATAAAATAATCTATGTTGTTTATTTGGAGGAAAGGAAGTGATGGTGAGGGGAGGGTGAATTGAATACAGAAGATGACTCCAGGGAACCTCGAACTTCGTAAATATTTTGCACAACCTATAATCCTGAGTTAATTAATCATTTTTGCTTTGCCTGTTTCAGAACTTGTTAAAAGTCGCGCTAAAGGCCAAGATGAGCGAAAAGTCAGGTGCCCCTGTTTATTTGAGCAAGAAGTGTATATATGCGAGATAGAACTGAAAAAGCATACGAGTGTAACCGTAGCAATCTTTGACCAAGCCTGAACCTCACTTTTTCTGAAACCACGGAGATGACTGCTTTTGATGACTTGATAAAGCAAGCCAAAGCCGTTAATAAGTGTGACTCGTTGTTAGCTGTGATAATCAAGGCGCTGCGACGGTTTTTTGGAACCTTTCATCCATTAAAACAAATTGTGTAATAAATGCATTGCCATATTATGCTTGCGCTGATCTTGTAGCGGTACGCGTGCATTACGTGGCACTGTTAGTCCGAACGCGACATCTGCGATTTTTACTATTTCTGCCAGCAACATGTATTGTCTAGCACTGAGCTCTGCCACTTAGGTTGGATAGTTGCATAACAGTTTTCTAACCATCATTCACTTCTAAGAAAACAAAATGAGAAAGACCGGCGATCGTTTGTCTGTGCTAACTCTGTGGTAGTATACCTAAAATGTATTTGCAATGACAAATTACAAACACATTTCATGTTAAAAAAAATCGGCTACATTTAATTTTTTTTAATGCTTTAAAAATACTTTAAAGGGGCAGCATGTGCTATAGCACCGATTTAAGCAACGTTGAACTATAACACAACACGCTTCGATAGCCGCACTCTATGAAGAATGCTCACAGAAAGGTTATAGCTTATATATTGTTGTAGGGTACGGTTATCTAAGAGCTAAAGACGATCCACTAAAACTTTTTAGTATCGACACTCACCATTGCTGCCTTCTCACCTCATGTGGTTGTTGGGATGCGTAAATATAAATGTGATCTACATTCGTTGGCCATCATATAGTGTGAGTTACGCACACAATAATTTGTGCTCGCTGCTAGAAAACAGAGACCTTCTACAAGATGCCCGCACCTGGTACATCGCTTTCTTTTCCATCGATCCCAATTTGAGGCAGGTTTGAGTGTGATAAGCCTTTTTTTTGAAGATGGAATGTTTTGCGCAGATGTAAGTCATCCTTACATATTCAAGTCACCACATCTCGCGCATGTGTTCCGAGCTCCTTGATCAACCGAGAATATCTATGAAACGTTCTTTAATGTGTGTGGGGATGCATCGCAGCTCCCAAGTATGCGTTTACTTTGCCACGGGCTAAACCAAAGAACTTCGACAGCTCGAATTCGGTGACTGCGAGGGCGCAGCCTAGCAGCTCCGTAAAACCTACCCTCGAGGAGCTAGGCTTGGCGAGAGCCAAAAAAATAGGGCAGATTACGCAATAGGAGCTGAAAATACCTGTAAGTCACGAGGCCGCTGCTGCCGCACCCATCGCTTGTCGCTCAGAAAGGGGATTTTCTCCGCTTATCCTTTCAGAAGAAGCCGGCACAAAAGGGGACCTTTCCCCTCGCCTTGCCGTGCTACAATACAAGAAAGAAAGAGGCGAGGAGGACTTTCCACCAGGCGGAAGAATATTTCAGCTGGTCCCCCTTTAAGCAGCCCAAAACATGAAAAACAGGCATAGGGGCATAATGACAAATATATCTGAATGCCCGTTTGCATAATATAAAAAGGTTCCCGAATGCTACTATCCTATCGCTCTGCCCTGCTCTTCCTTTTGATGCACCTGCAGGCGGCAAATTACTGTGCGTGCAGCAGCAATCAGACAGTTCCCCAGAGATATCTGGCAGCAACACAAGGCGAGAATGGCAGGACACCCCTTTGAACATGAAGGTAGGAAGTTTCTGGAGGCGACATGAGGCCACTGGAGGTGAAGCCATAAGTGTGGAGGGACACGCCCCTAACGATGACCAAAACCAAGAGACGCTATTGAACGAAAAGGAGAGCTGACCCAATGGCCGTTTTGGTCTTTGTCGAACAATTTCTTGGTTTTGGTCATCGTTGAGGGCGTGTCCCTCCACACTTCTGGCTTCACCTCCAGTGGCCTCATGCCGCCTCCAGAAGCTTCCTACCTCCATGCTTTCGAATGACCCGCCTCCTGCACGCGCTCGCTGCCTTTCACCACGCTCTCTCACGAGATGCCGAAGAGTTGACGAAGGTAGGAGGCTCCCACTGGAGGCAGGACAGCTGAAGCTCCTCCCTGCCGTGATTATCCTGCCAGTGACCGTGGGACCTACAGGGCGAGGCCGTAAGAACCAACTTGACAGGCCTCGCAAATTTCTAATTCTAATGATACATACCTAGAACGGGGCACGCAAATGTTGTTTCGCAAAAGGTTTTGCATCTATTTATTTGAGAGCTCAACCCGGAGGTGGTGAAATATTAAAAATACTAAAACATTTCGAAAACGGCGGACGTGCACTTTTTATGTCCTATCCCGGATGTTCGTCGTCTGCACACTGGTTTGCGAGCTTCCTCCGAGGTGGTTGTCGTTCGTATGTTTCGTTGAAGTTGTTACTTGTTGCGATTATCCTGCTTGTCGCCAGCCTCTACCAGGTGTTCTCAGCGTTTTTGCATTCAGGAAGCCATGCGGGAGTGAGCTCGCAAACCAGTGAACAGACGGACGGCTAGTATACGACACAGGAAATGTACTGCCGCCGTTTTTCTTTATTTTTAATATTTCGCTACCTCAGAGTTGAGCTTCAAAAAATTTGCACATAAAACTTCTTGCAAAACAACATTTGCGTGCTCGATTTCAGGAATGAACTTTGAAGCGTGTCAAATGTGCTGGTTCTTACGACCTCACCCTGTATTTCCTTTATCGAGGATTCCTCCGATCAAAATCCTACTGAAAACCAACTAAATGGGTTGTCCTGTCCTTTCCTGTTGTGCAGATGAGGATTTTAGCAATAGAACTATAAAGAAACTGTACAGCCTATGGAATTTGCTCAAGGGGGTAAAATTGTGTTTTAGAGGCATCTGTCATTCTCATTGATAAGGAATTTATTTTTAACAACAGTAGCAATAAAAAAAATGTATGCTAATTTTAGTCCATGTTTTGATAATTTTAAGGTCAAGAGACCTGACAGAATTGGTCACATCAGGCATCCCATTTATCTCTTGTGAGAGTTCCACATTCCCATTTTTTTTATTCTATCAAGAAGAGTTCCACTGATGCTTCCGTATTTGTATATTTGTGCCTTCACTGTGCACTGGTTGCTTCTAGAACCACAGCACCTTCACATCCCTGGAACCAAACTTTCTCTTAATTGGTGCATCACGTTCCAGGATGTGCGCAGGATGTCCCTAGAGTGCTTACATCAGCTCACCACAACTGGGGAAAGGGAGCTGCTGTTGCATCGGCGCAATGTATTGCGTGGCCTAACGCCGTGCCTTTGTGATCGGAAGCGTGTTGTGCGCCAGGCAGCAGCACAGGCGTCGAGTGCTTGGTAAGTGGCATGCTGCCCCACTTTCCACTGTGCTGCAAGTAGTGTACAGTTGAGTGCTCCCCTTAAAACCATAAAGGCTTCAAGCGTGAACTATGCTCTGTTCACCCTTAAGCCGAGACTACAAGGGGAGTTACGTGCCCGCCAGACCAATCAGCTGCCTCCCTCTTATCGCCCGACCCGGTTCGGGGGTATGGCCGGGAGCGTGACGATGTAGCAAAAGAGAGGCGTCCGATTGGTCCAAGGACATAGCTTCCACTGCAGTCTCAGCTTATGGGTGAACAGAGTATAACGCTCGAGCTTGAAGCCTTTTTTGCTTAGTCCATGTTAAGGAGAGACCCTGGCCTTGAACATTTTTCTGTAATTTCAAATCTAATTTATATTAAATTTTCACCTCTACCGCAAGTTTTTGTGCTAAGTACCAGCTGACTGTTTTCCTATCTTTACACCTTCCCAAAAAATGCTCCTAGGCCGGCGCCACGTTGATGATGATGCAGCTGGTGCGATTCTCGCAGCTAGAAATTTTCTGCCACTGTTGGGACTGTTGAAACCTGCTCAGCGCGATTCTCCGCCTATGTTTTGCAGTTTTGCATTTAAAGTTTTCGGGCCTTTCTTGAAAGTTTTGACCTCATTTTCCTTGTATATGCTGCATACCCTTTTTCTGTTATCTTCCACCGTGAGAAATAAGGCTGGTAAGTGCATGCAACCCAAGCGTTTCTGCTCGACATTCCTAAGAAACAAAGGAAGGGAAGAACCTCGAACTGCCCTTGACACGATTTAGTGAACAATGACAACTGTTCTCCACACTGACAGAGATAATCTGCGTAGAGACCTTCTCAGTAATCGCCAGAAACAGCTGTTTGGGTTGGGGTGGGTAACAAACCGGTTGTGTCCGTTCCTTTACCTTAGTGCTGGTATTGTGAAAAAAAGCTGTCCCTAAAACGTGCCTCAAGATGATGTCCCCCTGGATTCCGTCCGATCGTTAAGATGACAGTCGTCGACACTGTTGTGCTGTGTTATTTTTTAGATATTTCTCAAATAATTCCACTTCGGATAACGCTGCACCATGTGGTACATACAATATATTGTTGTGTAGATTGGATATTATTTTTGACAGCAAAGCGCTTTGTCATTTGACACAGCTGAGCGGGTGGCACCATTAAAACTCAGTCAAATATAACAAACATTCCAGACACATTCGCTCTGTCTAAAATGTTACATGTACCCCAAAAAATATGTAACAGTTTATGTTTTCTTTTAAATGTGGTACAATGCTTTCTCAATGTCCTCCGTAAAATACATATAACGTGAAATGCAAAAAAAAACAGCGGGAAAAGACGAGAATTTAGCCGCCACACCTCTGAAATTGCGTCTCCGCAGGCTGCGTATATCGAAATCAACAGTCCACTCGGTTAGGGTTAGCAGGGACGCTGGCGAGAGACTAGCCTCAAACCCAGTGTGAAAGCTCGAAAAAGGTTCTCTTGTCCCTGGGGCCGAGTGTTTCTTGGAAAAGTGTATAGTTTTGAAGAAAACCTCAACTTTACCGCGAATGTTTCTGCCAATACCCCCAGCAATATTTTTTAGAGATTCACAGATTTGTTTAAAAAAAGCCGTGAAAGCTACATTTATGCAATTTGTGCGGACGAGTTATACGGCCAAGGAGACACGTATAGGGGGCTAATCATAACGATCAGTCAGCTAATTAGGTGAAATTTGTTAATTTTTTATTAGCAAAAATAGACATATGGTTCCAATTAGGAACTTGCTGAGCGTCATCCAAAACCAGTAAGTCAACCTTTTCGAAAGATAAAATGCAGGGGAAACATTTTGTGGCGTTCTGTAAAAACGCTCAATTTGGACGTGTTTCTATGTTTTGGTTTATTATCGGAAAGCATGTCTGCAGCCACAGTCCTGCTCCTCAGTGGCCGAGACACGCAACACACTTCCCTGCATCCTACGAGGGGGGCGAGGCAGTGGCTTCGCGCTGCAACCACTGGGGAGCGCGATTGCGGGCGCGAAGATGTGCTCCGATAAGAAAACGAAACCTAAAACGCATCCCAACTGTGCGTTTTTTTTTTTTTTTTTTTTTTCTCTCTTCAGAATGCTATAAAATTCTGCCCCTGCCTTATATCTTTCTAAAGAGTTGATTTAGTGGTTTTCAATGGCTCTCTGCAAGTTTCTAATTAGAACCATATGTCTATTTTCACTAATGAAAAGGTTAATTACCATATTTTAACTAATTAGCAGACATTGTTACTATATATGTCCTCCTAGCCGTATATCTCACCTGCACAAACCGCACAAGTGTAGCTTTCACGGCTCTTTTTAAACAAATCTGTTAAGCTTAAGGGTAGTACAGGGTGTCTAGCGACCGGGTGTCTAGCGGTACAGGGTGTCTAGCGACCCCAATCTAAACCTTAAGCCGAAAGCATCCTAATCTGGCAGCCATGTTGCCATTTGGATATGTTCAGCGTCGTGTTTTCATTGTGTTTCCGGAAGTGGCCTCTTCACTGGCCATGTTGGTGGCAAGAAAGTGCTAATTTAATCCGGACTGGACGAAACTGAATATTTTGCAATATGCAGGTTAGATTAGGCCCATGCAAAATGATCCTCACTGTGCTCAATGCCTTGCGTTGTAAGGGTCCTATATATTTAAACGTCTCTAGAGTGGTCAGGGAAGGTCACCTGAAATTGTCAAGGAAAACCTGGAAAAGTCGGGGCATTTCAAAAGAATAATTTACTAGACACTTTCTTTTATTTTTCATTTATTGTGCTGAAATTTAGCATAGTAATGTATTTCTCAGTGGTGATTTCAAATATACAATTAGTTTTCATATAGCTTCACTAGATCCTGAGTTATAAATACAATTGTAATTTTAATTAGGTCCTCTTTATGGGTCGTTAGTGTAAAATTCTTCAGAATATATCAGAAATTTTTATTGAATGGCATTCACAAAGACATGCTTTGTGCGGCGATTCTATTTTAAGCCCGATGTAAGGATATTACATTGGTAAAAAAACATTGGCAATCAAGTTGCACAAAACAGGAGGGTACATCTTTTTGAAACAAATTAATTAAAATTATTGTATGACATATAAAGCAACAAAAATAGCATCCTCACACAAAGCATGTCTTCGTGAATGCAAATCTATAAAACTTTGATATATTCTGAAGATTTTTACGCTAAAGACCCGTAAGGGGGACCCAATTAAAATTACAAATTTATTCACAACTCAGTATCTAATTGCACATTTGAAATCACCACCGAGAAATATATTAAATACATCAGTATACTAAAATTCAGCACAATAAATGAAAAACAACAAAACAGTTAGACCAGAATCTCCCATTTTAGTATTGAAAGAATTTGCAGTTTGTATTTTTTATATTGTTTATCCAAGCACAAGTGACCAAAAACACGTCATCTTGCCTTGCTCATCTTGCCTTGCGCGTCACCTTGCATCAAAAAAACTGCTATTCCGCTGTGTAATCACAAAGAAAAAAAAAAATTTATTTGCTGATCTGATCTGCAGTTGCGTGTGGCGGTTACGTCTTCTAGGGGGGCAAGCGGAAGTCAACAAAACCTGTCCCCCTTCACTGCTACACTCGCCGTCAGCCCCGAGACGAACTGTCTTTTGTGTTGATCGCTCGCCGCGGCCTTTGACGATGCTAATCCTTTAAAAGTCGACAATCGCGGAGGAGCAGCTGGCGTCTTTGAAGAGGGAACCCAAGGGGAAACCATATGATACCCCAGAGGATGTCACTCGAAAGACGTAAAGTTGAGAGGCACTTGCTACTGTTCGCAAGAAAATACGGTTTTCTGTGCTTTGGTTCATAGGCGACACAGATTAATTTCCGACGTTAATTGGCCAAAGTCCGAAAATCGGTGCACCACCCCTTTAGAAAAAACAAAAAAACACCCTGTATGTTGTTTGAGAATTAGATGAAAAAGAATTTAGTTTTTGAAGACCATTGTCTCTCGTACAAGGTGCAGCAAATTTATATTGGCTGCTTTAGCATTCGGGAATGCTGCTAAAGTCAATTTTTTACATTTCCTTTTACAGGCACATGGTGGGACAATCAATTGGTGAATGATCAACTTGCATGGGAGAGACAAAGCACAAACCAAGGTCTGATAAGTAGGTTAAAATGTTTTTTATGTCAATAGAATCATCTACAAAACATGCTTCCACAGAGGCTCAAATTGGAACTCGTTAGGGGTCATACAGCATTTTCACAGCATATGCAAAATAAAGCACCTTTGTGAAATAATATTAACAGACAAACCTTGTGATTTCTTTCTTTCTTACAAGAGGAATGCAATGTAAAGCTTTGGCACAAAAATCAACACCCAACTGAAAGTCTAGACAACTGATTTGACGGCCACCTCGCAAAACCTGCAACGCTACCCTTTTTAATCGGGTGTCTTCCGACTAGAAAATGTCCGCAACTGGGGCGACCCACCCTCCCCTTGGAAAGGCGTTCAAACACAACATTGCTACGCCTCCTAGCGCAGGGAACAAAAGCTTGGCAGACAGTCTTCTGTCCATTGGCAGATGGAAGAATCTGGTAGTGCATGTCTTCCTTGCATGCTGAATGCTATGATAAGCTTGTTCCTCCCGAACAAGGAAAGGCCTCATTTGCCTCACCACCTTTCGTACATGTCCTGTCACTTGTCACACAAGCGTTTGATCAACAGCTGTTCACTATTTCTTCCACCACCGATGTCACATGGCAGATGAAGCAGGCGTTGCAGACACGCACAGGCTTGGAGTGGCCGTAGTGAGGCAGTGATATCGAATGGGAACTGCAGCGTGAGCAGAAGATCTGAAAACCAATGGTAAATGTGTCTTACACACACTGTGACCCGTGTATTAGGATGCAACAGTCAAAAGGTTCCCAAGAGTAACCATGTAGATGTAAAAAAGGGGAAAAAAACTTTTGCAACATCTGCAACTTTAAATTTTTCTACTGTAACTGTTATACAGCACGTAAATTAACTCTTTTAAGGCACTTTAGACGGCCTGCAAAAATCTAACACTGGCAACCACCATGCTGGTGGTTGAGGCGGCGGCCATTTTCAGTCAGGGTCATGGTAAGCTGTTCCGCGTTTGGCTGCAGCAATTCCTCGAAGAACGAAAACGATAGCAGTTTCATCAGCATCCCCTATGACAGAGTAGCTGTCAAGGAAAAGAAGGCACGAGTGGCAGAGAAGGCTCAGCCGGCCAACACTGGGGCTCCAACCAGAGGAGTGGCGGCTCCCTCAACGCCACCAGCAACTGCGTCGGACCACCACCGGCAGAGCCATCAGCCCTGGCTCACATTAGCCAACATTAATGATATGGTCGCATATTATTCAGTTTCTGGGATGCATTTGTTAGCAGCGAATTACAGCAGTTTTCTCGTTTGTGATGTGGATATAATTCAACACTCCTACACCAACGTGAACGTAAACTGTGTGAATCTTACTTTGTTTACCAGTGCCTTACGAAATCACAACTTCACTACTTGAAAAACCTCTAGTCGAGGACCCTAGAACCAAACCGCTTATTTTTAGTCGTAACGCAATCGCACCGCTCCCAGAAAATTGTGCACATACTGCTTTTCTTTTTTTTTTTTTTTTTTCCCCGTTTGGGGAGGTTGCAAGCATAGATATCAAACTGAGAGATGATTTTATATTAACTTTGTTAAAGTGAAGCAGCATTCGGAAAGTTTGTCGTGGAAATAATTTCTTTTATACTACCTTTTATGGACAACCGATGGGAAGTTGAAAATACTTTGTTGTGAAAATTTCATTCAAGCAGCGTTCGCTCTAGTGGAATTTGACTGTACCTATTAGAACAACAGGCTTCTGGCAGAAACAACAACAGATAGGGGGAGCCACTTTTTTTTTTTTTTTTTTTGGGTAATTTGGTATGTGCTTGTGCACCATCATAATTTGACTCTTTTATAGAGGGGGTTTGAATCAAATAGCACTGTCATTTTCAGCCCTCACAGCACAAGGGACATACCAGCTGTGATACTTGACTCAAGAGTGTTTTTGTACACTCCTACTTTAGTGCAACTTGACCTTTACAAAGAAGAAAAAAAAGGGGCTTGCCTTTCCACATTTGCGACAGTGGTGCCTGCGCCGCAGTAGCGTAAAATGTGCGCTGCAGTCCATGCAGCTGGCAGTCAGCTCGTCGGGTAGCCAGACCGGGGGACCTGTGGAAAAAGCAAACATTTTCACATTGTGCTGAGCAAGACTGAAGGAAAATCTTTAAATTATGTTTATAAATTATGTTCAAAATCAAAAGCCTTTAGAGCTTGCTCTTGATTGACACTCGTACTGGTGCGATACGCATGACCACAATATGGTGATGTTTTTTAAATAACAATTAAAGCGATATCGAATAAAATTCTATATTATTTCTACAAAATGTTTGTAACTTAATTTAGCCCAGTCATTTTCCCAGAATTTTCGGATTAATATATCTAGAACCTGGTCAGTATTGTCTGGAATATTTCTGCTACAACTTGTCTCATTTTAGGCTTCACTAGCATGTGCCCCTGGTGCATTCTACCAACAGGCCAGTTTCACCTACAGTTCTAAAAAAAATCAGAATCACCAGCTTTCTGGCCTTTCTGGAACTCAACAGATCAAGCATATGAGTGTTCTTGCGCACTGCTACCTCAAATTATTGAATATCCCAGCATCCAAGTGTGTCTGGCAGACTTACTAAATCACCCTCAAAGCTAGCATCTCTACTCAAATGGTGGTACGGTACTTTTTCGGGACAGACAGAGTCACGCACGCAGAAGGCCTGTGAAATTGGCCCACTGTTTCCTTGGCTGCCTAGTCGAAGGTACTGCGGTCCTACTTAAAGATTCCCCACGTGCGCACTGGAGACCAACCATGTCTGATTGGCTACTTGGCCATCAGCAGGACAAGCAAGGACCAGGCAGAAACCAAGCTGAAATGACATGCTTACTCCTGGCACCAGACTCGGGGGACAGGTCAAGTGAGAGATCGTCCGGCATAGCCTCCTCGGCACTGTCCACAGAGCGCCTGCCCGACCCAAGGCGCACTCCGGAGTCCTCCATTTCCACGATGTCCAGAAATGGGAGCGAGAAGACGGACGACTCGGACAGGGAGCTCCGCTCCGTTGGCGACTGTCGACACAAGAACTCAACTATTAACACAGCGGGGGGGGGGGGGGCACCAGCCTCCTCACCAGAGCACCTCATCAGGCCCCCTTAAGACTGGGAACCTAATGAAAAGCGTGCCCGGTGCAGCTGGCACCGAGAAACGCTCTTTAGTGCAACTACGTCGCCTGGAGTGCGTTTCCGACTGGCGTCCTATTCTGTCCATGCATCCCAACTGGTCCCGAAGTGGCAACAAAAGCCGAAGCATCATGCCATCGCAATCCTGGCAGTTGGGTGCACAGATTTCGGAGAAAAAAAAAGCATGAGCAAACGAGTGTCGCTGTCGTCACGGCGTCCCAATTGCTCCTGGCTGCTGAAGCTCCGTATACTGTCGCAGCGGAGAGCGACCTGAACAGGCGTCCGCCACATCCACCCCCCCTGCTGTGACAACGCCAGGATCGGAGCCGGCAATAACCTCTATGACGTCATCGGGCAGAAATTGAGGGACCACTTTCTTGGGTGTGGAAAACACACCAGTCGGAGATGTGTTCCAGGCAGAGTAGTGCAACTACTACTTGAAGCTCGCTGCCTGCGTAAATATTCTCCTTCAGCCAAGTTCATGAAGAGATCAGCTAAAACTTAAAAATAATAAAAATTGCAAAGCAAATTGGTGTAGTAGTACACCGAATGCCGCGCTATTTGTTGATCTGGATCGGGGCTCAAGTCCCCAGTAAATGAGATCGGGAAGATTTTATTGCACCCGGTAGGCTCCTCTCCATATGGCATGTTTTAGGTTCAAATTCAGACCTGCATCTTAGAGAACTGCAACTTTCTGCAATAAAACATTGTTTGTGTCATATTGCAGACTTGTTCCATCGCACATTCCGAAGGCCTACATTCGTACCATGTTACTCTGAACATGCAGATACCTTAGTACACAAGTTGGCAGGCACTCGGAAAGGCTTGTAAAAAAAATCTGATGGCCAAATCTAATTTCTTTTTGTTTTTTTGTTACAATTGTAATGTTTCATTTAACTTTCAGCCACCATTGTAACTCACATCACCTGAAATGGAAGGCAAACACCCCAATGCCATCGCTTGCATCGAAAATACCATTTTCTAAACTTTTAGGACTGTGACTGACTGGATTGCATGGTGTAGGGTACATTCCCTTTCACGGTACGGTGTTGAGTTCTGGGTATCAAGCTTCTGGTTTCAAGGATTTCAGTCGAGGCTGAAACTATGGGCTTGGGAGCAGAAGTAACACTGGCAGTCAGATCTAATGATGTCGATGCCATCACTTTTGTGCAACGATGCATAGAGTTTGTCCGAGTTGCATGAAGCTCATCGTATGATTTCTCAGTCTGTGAAATCGGGCAGTCGTTAACACATGCAACCGAAAAACAGCTTCAGTCCCCACAAGAGACAGCAGTGGAAAAGCATGGGCTTCTTGAAAATGATAAAAACTAGGGCAGTGTGGCTTCAGCAGCAGCAGATGCACCCTGCCAAGGTGCTAAACTTGACACTGTATGAGTCAGTTTTTGTCCCTTTTTCGAGTTTATTCTTTCCGGTTGTTAAAGTTGCCAAGTTGCATTTTAATGCAAGTTTTAATAGGTAGGATTCTCAGTGTCATCTTGACAAAATATTTTGGTCATGATCATCTAAATCCTACAAAAGCAATATTAAATCATTTGTTGGGGTTTCAACTTTAAACATAGTTACCTTCTAATTGTATTGCACTGAATTTCACCAAAGGTAAAACACTGCATCAAGTTGGCCAAATGATCCTAGCTTGTAGTTTGAAGAGGAACCCCAATCAACTGAAGGTGATGGGACTAGTCTCGGCCCAAAGGCAATGAACTGACCAAATCACAAGCAAATGTTCTTTCGTGGCTGGAATATCTAAAAATGTAAACACATGGCTCCACTACTCTTGCAATGCTGATATTATGTAAATTTTGGAAGCGAGTGATAATGATATTGTGGCGGCTTTAAACTTTTACAAAATTCCAACCCAAGCCTTCCATGGAGTTGGCAGGGTGATTCGAGACCGCTTAGAGGGGCTTTCCGCTTAATTGCTTCAGTGCACTTGGAAGTAACTAAGAAAATAAGCAGATGCAGCGTGGTTTGCTTTGAGTTGTCAAACGAATTAATCCCAACTAACTGATCATAGCCCAACTTGAGGATGGACAGTTGCAATTTTCTATATCCTTCAAGTGATATGGATTTTAACTACACAAAATATGTGTCCGTCATTGCACACTTCACACTGTCACATACAAATCATCTGCCAGTTAAAAAGTAGTTGTTGACTTGCAAATGGTTCAAGCAGACAAGCATCGAGATGGTTCGTTAGTGTTAGCGGGCTTCCAGCGACCTGTTCCAGGTAGTTCACAGTTTTTCCGCTAGGTGCCGCATGTTTTGCTAAAGCTGCCAATAGGGGAACTGAATGGAGGACTGCCTCTTTGGAGAACAAATGAAAGCACAACCACCACATCCACCACATAACGGACTTAAAAAACCACATCTGGACTAGAAAAAAAAAATAAAAGAAGGATATCCTGTTTTGGAACATGTCGCCCCAGGAAAGGGAAAGTTGTATGCAACACATCCCACATTTTTATAGAAAAAAAAAAGATCATAAGTAATTATGCCAAGATTACAGTCGGCATGATACATGGAGGTTTTGGGGGAACTTGAAGGATTGAAAGGGTGTCTTCATGCAGCACCGGACATCAATAATGCAGGGCAATATAACAGTGAGATGACCCCTCAAGAATAAATGTTAAGCTCATTTGGTTACCTGTCAGCAGGAGGGTATTAGGAAGTTAGTTTCCACATGCACATCCCTGAGAAACAACATGCTATGCAAGGTAGACCCAGCCAAGTATTCTACTGTAGCACTATGCTAAGAAGCAGGTTAGGCAAAGCAATACCGAAAAGCAGTCCGTAGCACACACTGTCCAGGCAAGCCCACCTCTGCTTCCACAGCACTAGATGGCGACTCCTGCCTGACAGAGCTGTTCATCTCAAACACGCACTTCAAGATGTTCCTCATTTCACTGGCAAAATTAGTTTGCAGCTGATCAGCAACACCTGAAATAAAAGGAACAAATGTTCATAAAGAAATGGATAGTATTGCCACAGCATCTCCACTACAGTAACAACTGAATATTATTCCAACAATAATTATAAATTTCTGGAATAAAAAAAATACTTGCCAGTTAGTTTTTCATCAGATTAATCAGAACTTTAATAGCTGAGGTCACTATTACAAATGAAATAAAAAATCCAAGACACTCCTATTAGAGTGCTGGGTGGGTAGTTCTTAAGAGAGGCCCCTAAAGTCTCCATTTTTAACCTCCAATGACTGACAAAGAATGTTTAGCCCACATTCATTCGGAACAAAGTATTGTTTTAATTTAAAGCCAAGGCAGAAGCCGACCTAAGCATGTGCACTATGCTAGCCACTGTTCAGATTCAGAGTTTAAACCATAATTGTATGTAATCCACTACAAGTAACAAAATTACTTGGAGTTCCTTTTATTTGTTTTTTTTCCAGTAATTTTGTAACAGATTCATTACATTTTTTTTTGTGTAAATGTAAAGTAATTTCCTTACTTATTTACATAATGGATGTACTGTACTTCCTTACATGTTTATTTGCCAAAGAAAAAGGAGGGAAATTTAAACAGATAAAACAATCGTTAGAAAAAGGGGGTTTTCACTCTTGCAAATTTTACCGCAGTCACTCCGACTCATGCATTGACAAACACACAAAAAACGTTTTAGCATTCTTAGGATCATCAAAGCCTTTGTTTAGAGCACCAGCTTCTCGAATGATTTTTATTGTTGCCTTGTTATTTTGGATGTTCACAAACCATCGTTTGTCAACTTGCTTGCCTACAGCCAAGGCGAAACACACTAATAAAAAGACACTGACTTTGATGCAAACAACATTAGACGCTGGCAATCAAGTCACAGAGTACAGGTAGTTATTTCTAAAAAGAAAAAAAAAATGTTTTAAGTGCAGGTAAGCTGGTGTAGTGTATCTATATCAGTCTTTTTAAATCTGTTCATTCTTTCTTTGCTATCGAAGACACCAGTGATTGTTTGCCTCTTCAAGAGGCTCAAGGCTGTAAGTACACAAACAAGAATTAACAACGCCCCTCTCAGTTATAGTGACTACGACCACTTTCATAATGTCCCAACAGGAGAAGCTCAATCTTCGGCTGGAATAATATTGAACCCTAAAATCCACCGAAAGCAATGTGCTAATAACTGAAGGTGGTACAAGTCAAAGCATGATCTTTCATTGCTGCTCAAAAGATATTGGAACACTTTGCGTCTCTTGGAGAACAGGATGCTTTGCGCTGCTTTTCACCTTATTTGACCAAGACCAACTTGCTTCTATAGTCGAATGCAACCTGAGAACAATCTTTTAGCTCCACCCACAAGCGCATTGCGCCCATCTGAAGTGCCTCCGCCGTCGAGAAAGTAGTTCGCTAGCAACGTTGCTTTTTCTTCCTCCAGGAAACGTGTCTTAAACTACTACAATATTTATTTAATTCATTCAGGACATTTAAATAAGTTAGAATATGTTTTTGTCAATGAAATAGCTGTTTAGTAAAGAAAGTCATGTCCAATGTACCGTCTTCCCAATTCATTTTCTGTCCAAGATACTGTCTCACATACCGTCTCATACGTCTAACATACCTCTCAGCAGTGCTAAGTCTCGCGCCTGCTTCGAAATTTCTGTTGGCGATAGCGTCGCTGGATTCTCACGTTGTCGCGCAAAAACTGCTGCAAACGCAAGCCGATACCATTAAGATTTCGTGGCGTAACCTCGGGCACGTAAAACACGGTGCAAAAAAGCAGAATAATTGTCACGAGAAACTAGCGTCGCGTTGCTAAGGCCAGCAGCCATGTTGGGCTTTTCTTTTTTTTTTTCAAAAGGATCGCGATTGGTCCACGGAATCGTGACGTCATGAAAACGATTGGCTGGCGTTTCTCGGCGTAGGATTACATTTTCCTCTGAGAGGCATTTCCGGTTTTTTCTTAGCTTGCAACCGACTATAAAAGCTTCCGTTTTGTAGGCGAAGCGCTACGGCTGGCCTGACCTCATTTGTGAATTCCACGTTTTCGGAATCCCTGTCACACTTTTGTGCGTCAGCTTTTTGTGAGCATTTCGGAAATCGTAATGGTATTTTGTTTTGTATGTTTTTACATACAAAACATGTTCTCGAAAGCATAATTTTAATATTAATTTTTATAAAAATGGTAGCTGACGTAGGCTAGTAAGGATGTTGAAGATTCCGGACTTTCTGGGTGGGGCATAGTTACTGCCATTTTCTGCCGCTATGGAGGAACGCTGCCCGTGGCCTCAGCGAACGTCCGCCTGGAGAACACTGAGGTGCAAAGTACCGGCCCGTGCTCAGTGCGCTTCTGAACGGCATCAACGAACGGTATGTACGGCGAATGTGTGTATACATTTTCTTGTTTTAACAGACACCTTAATTGCCTTGGGTCTGTCCTGATGTTTTTATTGGTTATCACCTGTTATAACTTAAATCAAAAAATTTCCCTTCTCTCGTTTACCGACATGTCTGAACCAAGGCTCGACCTGTTCAGAACCAAGGGAAAATTAATATGGGAACCTAATTAATGATTAAATTGTCATATGTAATTGTTGTGTCTTACTATACTCGCGTACCACCATCTGGCGATACTTGTCGGTACACTAAGATTATAGTGACATAATCAGAGCTACATAAATCGATTCTTATTCCAGGCTTCGTCAGTTCAATTACGATTTTGACAGCTTCGTGATTCCAAAGTACAAAGCACCAGCTGCAACGATGACGCTTTGCTTTTTCTCCAGAGTAGAGACTTCCATTGCTTCACTGGAAAGGTATGATGCAGTGCATCAAGCGTTCGTGAGGCACAGCGTGGCAGTCGACATCTTCACGAATAAACGAGGCAAGGTGACCGACAAGACTATCGAGAGCCAACTGTTGTTCAAGATACTCAAGGTCAAAAAGTGGGACTGACGGCAGCAATAAACACTCGTAGAACCCTCTTCACTTTTGTTTCTTACCCTGGGACAGTAAGGTTGTAGGCAACACCGCAAAGGCAAGGGATTATTTTGTGGTTAAGTGTACAAGTGTACACTTGTGAGCGATATGAAGGTGCACAGCCCTCTTCTTGTTTTTGACGCTCCTGCAAGTTTTGGAACAAGCTCTGTTCCAGAAGAAGGCTAGAACGCAAAGTTTAGATCCCCAAGCCACGCACCATTTGAGACGTTGAGAGTTAACATTAACATAGCTTTAAAGAGCCGTAAAACAGGCAAGAAACCAGGTAAGGTGTTCACCTTCATATTGCCGGCGGGTGTATATACCATTCAAGCTGCTTACAGGGAAGAGGAGGCGGTGTTTTTTTAACGTAGGGGAAGCTACGATTGGAGATTGCACGCCGCACGCTCACTCTTTCAGTGCCATTGCAAATATCAAAAGTGTTGCAGCCATCAGAAGAAAAAAAAACTTCTCAAGTATGCTTGAGTTTATTGCAACAAACCCTCATCTTCTTCAGGGATCACTGAAGGCCTCTGATCCATATAGCAGTACATTCTTCTAAATAGTGTTCACACATAGAATGGCTTTCGGTGCATTTGTGTAAGGATCCCTTTTCCTTTTTGTTCAAAATTTTGAAGAATTAGGAATATAACAAAATTAGATGCGAGAACATGCCCAACCACAGAAATAGGAAATTTACCAAAAGTTCAATAGCCAAATTTAAAAAAAAAAAAAGAAAAAAAACACTTGTAAAGCATTTTTCCAACTTCCCTGATTGGCTCACTACATATAACAGTCTTAAAAAATCGGACAAGTATACCTGTAAAAAAAAAAAAAAAAAAGAAAAAGCTATTGCTGTCAGGACCGGTTATAACGAAACTTGCTACAGCGAAGCGATCACGATTTACCATTCCCTTTTGCACTTCGTTTACTGAAGTCGGTTATAACGAAATAGCGGATATAGGCAGCCGGCAACGGCCAGGCGGCGCCAGCAGGGTGAGAGCGCACGGTTATACCCTGCCTCGTAGTAACTTGGCAAACGACGAACGAGAAGCCCCACATTGCGTGCCGAAGGCTTCGAAATGCGCGACGTATACGAGCGCAACGCACGCATATTGGAGCATGACGCAGCGAAAAGCCTGATACTTCTTCGAAGTTGAGACGCGCTCCGGTGATACGCAGTCACGTTCCGATTGGCCCGCCAGGGCCGTACCTTCCGTTCTACTGGCACGTTACGCGACCACAGCTTCCTGGGATACCCAGTATTTCTTGCTTCAGACACTAGGCTCAGCGGCGCCACCAGAGTAATAGCTCAGGTTTGAACAATGTAGCCGCCACTCCCAGGGGTACCCAATATTTCTTGCTTCAGTCGCTAGATGGCGCCAAACCAAACAGCATTGCAGGTTGCCTATAGCGAAGTGATTTCAGATTCCCGTTGATTTCGTTGTAAGCGGTCTCGACAGTAGCCCTTTTGTAATGATGCGTTTTTTTCCAAGAGTTTTTTAATGGTTGCGTCTTTTCCAAGGGGATATACGACAAAAAAAGAAAAATCAATGCAGAGTTTTTTGTTTTGTTTTTTAATTATTGAAGCTGTTTAGGTTGAGAAGCATGAAATAAAAATACTGAAGGTGAAAAATTGCTGCCTTTCCATTTGGTTTTATTTCGGTGCGTCCACTTCCGTGATATTCCGGCGATCTCAGATTTCGAACCGGAGGTACTGTACAGAGCTCTATCGAATGATGAGCTCTCATCCTATAAATTAAATTCTGAGAAGTGTTAAAAGTTTGAATTAGGAGTACCGGCATTCTGATTGCCACTACTGCCGGAACAGCCCACACCCTAGAAAGGCAAAACACCGAAGACAATGTTTATAGTTCCCCAGTGACATAACAAATTACAGCACCTCCCAGGGTGCACGCAGTTTTGCGATTAGGCAGGAACTTTGAGCTATGTTATCGCCCCTGTAGATGCACAACTACCATCAAAGGGTTAACGTCCAGACAAGAACATGCAGCTTGAAGAGCTCGCCCATTGCTCACCAGATATGCATACGAAGAGCCGGTGAATCAGGTCCTCGCTGCTCTTGAACCGCGAACGGGCTTCGTTACGAAAAGCAATCTCCACGGCTTGTAGTGCCAGCGCTATTTCCTCGTCGTCATGACATTCCGAATTGTAGGAACTGGTGTCTGTGCTCTGGTAGCTGAAGGCAAGGGGCTCTAGTCACCACTTTTGTCAGGCAGAAAACAAACACGATGAAAGCTCGACCACAAGAGATCACCCACCTCATAGACTCGAAATCCGAAATGGATAGGCTCGAGAGGGACTTGCAGCTAGAGCAGGGAGATCCCAGCGAACTCCCGCCTTGCTCGCTCTGCAACCTTCGAACCTGCGGAACCACGGGTGCCCGGTCTGACGCGGTCGACAGCCCCGACGTTCGCCGCAGTCTCGAGTGGATTGCGGACTGCTCTGACGAGCGAGCAGCCTCCCTGGGCGCACCGGCCTGCAGCACGTCATTCAGGAGGGGCCACCAGCTCTCGGAGAGAGCGCTGTCGTCTGAGTCGTAGTTGCTGCTGTCGTCGTCACTCGAAGCCTTGTGGAGTGGAGACAGGAGGGTCTTCTCGGACAGTGTGCACTTCCGCAGCAGGGGGCTCCCTTTGCCCTTCTGCAAGGGCAGGATGGTCTCGCTGTCCGAAGCAGCAGCAAAATTGTGGTTGTAGAAGTCTTCGATGAACTGCTTGCAGTTCTGGTGGTTGCGGTAGAAGAGGTTGATGTAGATGTCGGAGTCGAGCACGGCGTAGTCGTCTGTGCCAAGCGATGTCTGCTCGTTTGTTAGGGAAGTCTTGGGCTCTTCCAGCTGGCACAGAGTCTTCTCGAGAAGCCAGAGTTCTTCTCGCGACAGGGTCCACAGCAGCTCCCTACAATGGAACGTGGCTTCCTCATCAGGCTCAATTTCCTTCTTTTGCAAGTGCTACTCAGTCAGGGGTAAGTTACTTTTAAAAAGTAATTCGTTACAGTTACAGTTACTTTCAGAAAAAAGTAGCGAAGTTACCGTTACAGTTATAGTTACTTTCAAAAAGTAATGACGTTACTTTTCAGTTACTTTTCTATAACACAAAAATTAAGGAAAAACTAGTGTTTGAAAGAAAAAAAAAAAACATGAATCAGTCGGGCTTCCACCATAGCGGTAAATTCAAACTTAATAATTTAGCTGGAAAATTAGTCAATATTATGAAAAGAATAAAGACCAAAATTCAACTGGATGTGTTTTCTCAGATTTGAACACGAAGACTTGTTCTCTGAGTACTCCTTGTTGCAAAGTTTGCATACTGCGGTCAAATAGTTAGCAAATACCTTCACCACAGAAAAATACTCTTTGTACGCCGACCATGCTAGTTCTTTGTTCTCATCAACATCCCTATCCTTGGTAGCACTAGCACATTGCTGGCTCGTTGACGGTTGCGCTGGGTTTATAGACTCCTTTGATATATTTCAGTTCGTACACGGCAAACCAAAAACAAGCCCTGCGCAAACAGCAGTTAATTTTGCCTCCACCGTTGAAACCACGCCGAAGTAGTGGCGCAAATCAAAATACGAAACATGCGCAGTGCGGAGTAGTGGCGCTAATCAAAATACGAAACATACGAAGTTCTCTCCGTGTGTATTGTTGTTTCACGGTTGATTCACCCGATTCAAAAGCGTGCGCAGAAAAAAGAAAAACCGCTACAGAGATAGTGCTTCAATATACTGAGATATAAGTGTTCAGTCACAAAGTACAAGCAAGTGCGTAAAGATAACTACATTCTTTTTTTTTTTTTCATCAAATGTACACGTGGCTATATTCGGATAGTGACTCGCGAGAAAGAACGTATTCTCAAGTTTATGCAAGGCCAATTGACACTGAAAATGTCGGAACAGACCATTTGGAAAGTGCAAGGAATAGCTAGATTATACTTGTTCAATGATATATTATTCACAAAGAACTGAAAAGTAACAACAAAAGTAACGTCGTTACTTTCATCATTACTTCAGAAAAAGTAATAGAACTACAGCTACAAGTTACATTCTTAAAAAGTAACCCGTTACAGTTACAAGTTACCGAAAAAGTAACGAAGTTACAGTAACGCGTTACTACTCAAGACTGGTGCTACTTACCGAATTTTACACAGAAGACTGAAGAATGGCCGGTACAACTCGGAAAGACGAGACAAATCCCTGTCAACATTCAAAGGCCCGTCGGGGAACAATAACAAGCCCCTGAAAAACATTGAATTAAACCAATCAGCACTGCGAGAGCTCAAGATAGAACAACTGAAGAGGTGATGCCTTCTGTACTTACGCAACAATTGCCAGTCTCGGAATAGTGAACATAAGTGCCGGATCATATGTGTCAACCATCTCCTGAGGTACCAGTTTCACCTTGATTGCCCTGAAATGGCCAAGAATCAAAGTGGCAAAACCATTCCAGCTCAGCAACTGGAAGATCCAGACAAAATTCTAGTTCACAATTCTATGATGTGGCCGATCACAGAATGACACTCCTAATCAGTGATGTTAAAACATGGCGAGGTCTGCTACAGTGAGTCACTTTTGTTTACTATTAACACTGTGGCCAGATACCATTGCAAAACTTGCAGTAATGTATTTTTTAGATACACATACTCATACTTCCCAAGATGTGGCTCATATTTAGGGTTTGGTGTTTTGGGCTCCGCAACAATTCGGTTTTAACCGAAAAAGGTATGTAGTTAAAAGCAATAGAACACAGCTGATGGGTGTTTGAGGAGGAGATAATTGTCATTTTGTGACCTTGCGACTCCCTTGTCGAGTTGCCAGCTATCTTCGACATCTCTTAGTTTTGCTGGGGCAGAGTTTAACAGTAAACAGTCTTTTGGTGGTTAAATTTTTGTTCTCCTTCATGATTGAACTTTGTCAAGTTTGCTGTCCTTTAGAGATGATATCTGAATTGTTTTCGCTGTCTGAAATATTCCACAGCTGCTCAATGTATGAAGGCATTTTCAAAATTTCTATCGTAGCTAATGACGAGGCTCAAGCACTGCGACCAGAGTTTCTTGAGCACATGAACTATCAAGTGCTATGAAAGATAGTACCGGTTGTCTTTGGGCACCTCAATTCAACTGACTAGTCAGCTTTGGCTACTATAGACTCTGTTTACCCCTAAGCTGACAGTGCGGTGGGAGCTACGCACCTGCTGGACCAATCAACCGCCTCCCATTCATTACCTGACCCCACTCTATGCACATGGGCATGGGCGGTAGTGATGCAGAACTATCGATAGTGTCGCAGAACTATTGATAGTAGACTATCAATAGTACTATCGATAGTTTTTCGATATTCGACGACTATTGATAGCTTTTTTTTACTAGTATCGACAGTCAGATTTCTGGCAACTATCGGTACTATCAATAGTACTATCGATAGTTTTGCATTACTAGAGCGAACACAGCTGCCGAACCGCCGCTCGCCTCCCTTCCTCCTCTCTTCGCCCAAACTCCCATCTTCGTCATCACTGAAAGCTGAACCAAAAATGGGATGTTAAGTGCTTCGGCTAGTTGGTGTTCCATTTAAAAAATTAAAGCGAGAAAAAGAGAAGAGGGAGCGACGCAAACTACTAGTGTCGCAAAACTATCGATAGTAAACTGTCGACAGTACTATCGAAAGGTTTACAATAGTTGACTATCAATAGTTTTCCGATACTCGATTAACAATATTTTTCCGATAATCGACTGTTGATAGTACTATCCTAGTCGACCATCGATAGTACTATCTATAGTTTTTCTATAGCTGACTATCGATAGTTTTGCACCACTAATGGGCGGAAGTGTGATCACGTGGCGAAAGATTGACGTATGACTGGCTCCAACGGGCACATAGGTTGCAACGCACTGTCAGCTTAAGAGTGAACGGAGTATTGTACTTGCTTCACCTCGGCAGCTCACCAGTTCAGAGTGAAAATGCACTGGTACAGAAGAGGAGCACTGAGCAGCCGTGGTAAATGGTGAGAAAGCGTTTCCGAAACCAACAGTTATGAACAGAAAAGAATGGGCATGCGTTAACGTAAAAAACCTAGGAAACTACATATGTTTTTATTACAATAATATAAAATAATTTCAACCTAGATGACCAGCAAAATTCCAATGCTTCTTGTTACGTGAAGGATCATGTTAACACTGGGTGGAGCCTGTCTATATCTGCCTCCTCTGTACTTCTCCGTGCATGTTTCATCAATATTTTAACGTTGCACACGCTACTGCGATAGATAAAAATGTTATTGTACAAAAATAATTACAAAGAACCCCCGAGCCGAGGCAAGAAAGGACAGCACAAACACAAAGTCTTAAACGGTGGTGTTTGAGACTCGGTGTTTGTGCTGTCCTCAGTCTCGGTGTTCTTTGTAATTATGTTCAATTTACACAGCACGTTTGTGCTCTTCGTTTTTGCTTATTTTATTAATTTTTCTCCTTCCATGCCAGGCTCAAACACATAGCCTCCAGATTGTTACCATTTTATATGGTAGATGCAAGCTCTCCATGACTAAACCTTGCTTAGCACAACCGTTTGTTAGTAATTGCCCAGAGCTCACAAAATAAACAAGCAACAGAAAGGCCACATACGGTCTGGGTTGAATGGAGAGACTGCACACAACAGCAAAAAAAGTTCTAAAAAAACTGGTATAGACTTTAATATGTATAAATATTAACTTAAAGAATTCCTTTCTAGATAATACCCCCCAAAAGTATGCCAAACCTGAAAAAAAAAAAAAAAAAAAAAACCAAACTATACTTTTTATTAAAATGTTCTATATTAAACTAAATGATTAAGCTCACAATAAATTTTTCAACAGTCATATGTTTGAATTTCAGCATCACAAAATGGCAAGACTGAAACACCACCTAAAGCCTGCAACGTTGCCAATCTTTGGTCCACTGCTTGTTGTTCCATATGCCTACCTGCACTGCCACAGTGCTAGGATGATTCCCCTTGTGCTAATGTCATCAAGCATGACAATATTTTCAATCTCTGAGCAATTGTCATTTCCAATCCAACTTGGTTAGTGCACATGTGCATGTCTGCTAGCTTTTCTTCCCTTCCTTTAAGATGTTGCAATGGGCCTAATCCTTTACAAATGAAGAAAACTACACCCAATTATATTAAGCAGTTGAGTAAGGCATTACCCACCTCTGCAGTGTTTCGGAAAACAGCACTACAACTTGCTGCTGCAAATGATACTCCGTAGCCGATTTCACAGGCACCATGGCACTGACGTAACTGTGAGAAAAATGTGTACTGTGTTAGATACTGGTGGTGATTGCAATTAAGCTTATGTGCCACATAGGTAGCTTACCTTAATTCAAATTCTGCAAAGAGCCTATCGAAGGTCTTAAGGGATTCTTTAACCTGCAAGCAAGCCCCACCATTCAGTTTTGCCAGAAAACAGTCACCAAAACACAACTGACCTTTCCCGGGTATTCGTGAGGGTTCCGAAGGCACTGTTCACGCAAAAGACACCTGACATTGTCCAGAGACCTCGTAAGGGCCCTCGCCAAGGGTCGCATCTGTGAGCTCTCTATCTCCCTGTTCATAATATTCGAACCGGCAGCAAGACACTGTAAGAGACCACAGACAAATTTTACACAAGTTGAGACACTTAACTGAAGAATCAAGGAGCGAAAGAGTGTTTGCTTTACACACCTCGGCACCAAACCACAGCAAGCCCGACATGTTCTCCTGCAGCACGTCATCGGGAAATTTGGCACGGAAATCGCGGTCAGCACGGGAGTCCGGAATGGCCTCATCCATAATTTCGTGGCAGATGCCCAAGACCTGAGGAAACATAGCAAGGTTCAGCGAAGGCCATAGACACCAATGCGTAAAGCGAGAAGACAGAGAAGCGTCGCCTGACCCTGTCTTGGCAGACCCGGAGCTGGTTGACCAAGGCAGAACAGCGATCGGGGTCTTTCCTGCCATCAAAGCTGTCAAGCTCGGTAGCCACCAAATTGAGTTCCTGGTCAGCCCAGTAGAACTGTGCCAGGGCCGAGGTGTCCTCCCTCTGCAATTGACCAGAGACAAGCAGGGGTTGCACAACCTTTATCCATGAAGTGTATCGGAACAAGCTTGCAATCAACTTCGGAAGGTGCTGAACTTTCAAAGATTTATCTTGCCAACAGCATTATCATCACCACAAGAACACAAGATGCTGATTGGCCCATAAACATAATAACAATACTCTACTTTCCCGGTGTCCACAAACAGCTACACAACTTCCTCCGTGACATACAAATTGACAAAACATACAGTGCTCAACGAAACAAAAAAAGACCAGCGGAGCGCTTGACCCTAGCTAGAGTAACTGCATATGCTCTGCATATATGAAGTTGTTCTAGTGTATACTAGAATCACTAGATGTTCCCAGAGTACCGAAACTCCCAAGCTTTGTTTCAGAACCGAGTTGCGGTGCAGCAGTCGCGCTCCAACCCTCCCCAATATGGAGCTGCCCTGTGCGGTCGAAGCAAATCGTGTACAATGTAGCATTCGCTCTCGTGTGAGCTCTGCAATCCACTTTCCTGGTCTGAGGCGACACTGGTTTGTTTTTATTGAAGTTCTTTTCGTCATTCCGAGTGGTACATGACTTGCTCCTCGCTTTCTCCATCTCTCTCCCTCTCACCTCGAAACACATTGAAGTCAGGTGTTTGTCTTAGCATCTGAGGTGTAGAGTTTGGAACTCAGCACCAGCGCAACCGGAGCGAGCAAACGAGCTGACAATCCTCCGTAACGAACCAGATTAGCCGCTACTTGATATAAAAAAAGCTAGAGAAAATCAATGCACCTTCCATTCCGTCCTAACTCACTGATGCCCGGAGCTCCCACCCGTGCATACCCGCCGTACCCGTGGTAACGCGGAAATGTTTTATATAAATTTTTTTGTTGTTCTGGGTCCATCCCCAAAATGGCAGACCGATAACTTTCACCACGGGCTAAACCAGCCAATCATAACTGGATTCTGCGGGATTGACTTCCGGCAAGTGGGGCAGTCGGAGATAGCTATCAATAATGATTGCCTAGAGTTGGTGTCACAGTTCAGAGACCCAATCGACTTTAATTCTTACGACTATCTTTTACAATGATTGGGTTACGAAGAACACTTCTGAAAATAACACCCCACTAGCAGGCCACCTATAACGTGTGCTGGATAAAAATTGCACCAAGACCGCTTTGGTAGTGTTGGTTGGTAATACCAACAGTACTATACAGGGTGCGGCCGGTATTTGAGAACGAACACACAAGTAAAGCAAAAACTAGCCATGTTTCATTAACACGGACCCCGTTAACATGGATACTCCGCTATAGGCCAACACGTGGCCCTGACGTCACGCAGCTGCGGTGGCGCTGTCGACGGCAATGCGCATACGCAGACGCTTCACGCGAGTTCAGTTTCTGCGCACGCGCAGTGCCCGGTGGCTAGTGTGACGAGTATGGCATGCCTTTTCATTTCCTAGTTGAGGCTGGAGGTGGCCATCTTGAATGGAATACTAGAGACATGGCATACACATGCAGTTGAATTGGTCGACCGCATGCCATGTTTTCGTGCCATTTGTAACAGACGAATGACTCTAAAGAAGTTCTGTATCATTAGCACAACTAGCTGTTGATGAGCGCTGGTATCATTCTTTACATTATGTATGAGAACTGAAGCCAAATACTGCATGCCTAAACTTTTACCTTGTTGAAAAGTGGAAATTTGGGCAAGTTGGTTCATAACAGGGTCGGGCAGTATCGCGACAGTATTTCAGGATGATGTGAGCCCTAGTCCGCCCTGGCCCCAGTGCAGGGTGGCAGTGACATGCCCTCGCATCACCTGGGAGTGCCATAAGCACTCCACACACAGGACCGCACACCTAAATTCCTCATCCCACAAAGCCACCCGAGCACCGGAATCACATTTTCGACTTGTCGCGTGCGGGCAGCAGGCCTTCCCTTGTAATAGAACTTTTTCTCTCCCTCTTTTTCTCTCTGTCCTCTTTGTCCCATATCCCTCTCTCCACACCACCGTCTCAAATGACTAGTCAAGCCAGACGGCGGCTCATTTTATTTTTATGTAAATAAAACGTTTCAACAGCAGCAGTCACAAGCGGTTGCGAAGCAGTCGGTCACACTCAAACGCGTAATGTCATCTGTAACAGACGAATGACATTAAACGAATGGCATTAAAAAAGGTATTAATGATTAATGAGCATGTAACTTTTGGATAATAACATTAACAACTACAGACATACAATGAGAATAAAATGAGAAAATTATGACCAACTCAAGAATACACACGAAAAAAAAACAAAAAAACTTATGAGTGCCCTGCACAATCTTGTGAATATTTTTTATGCTCGACTTTCAAGTAAAAACAAAGTCTAAACAGGCGAACAAAAGGTCTCAAACACCAACCTAATAGGTGCATCATACACAGCGATGATATAAACATGAAACAAGCAAGCAATGGAGTCTAACATTCAACATGTTGGGCTTCAATGAGGGAAACGTGGCTGAAAAAGGCAAGGCTTCTTGTCCACGCACATGCCGAGCTATAAGAAGAGAACAATCTTGTTTACCAGAATGCAACTGAGCCCACTGAGAAAAAAAAAAAATTTTCGCGACACTAATTATTTAGTAGTTGTTTCTGGATTAAGAGACGGGATGGGGCATTACTGATACACCACTTGGACATGCCAGCAACGCCGGATTGAATAGGTCTACAATCAAGAGGGGATTGATTGCACATTTAAAAAAGTTTGATGTCATCAGCAAACAGACGGACCTACACAGGAAACAATATTGTATATGAATAAAAGAAACAGTGAGTTACTCCTAGCGTACAGCGGAAGTTGTTACAAAATTCTTTGACAAGCAATTACCAACACAAACAGTGTTCCAATGCAAGCTTGGCTAACTATCAAATTAGTCACAAAGCATAGGCCCATGTAATGAACACTTCTGTAACAAGCTTTTCCATTCAAGAAAGGCCATGATAAAGCAATCAAACTCAAATTTAGGGGTTTTGCATGCCATACCAACAAAGGGCATCTGGCATGCCTCAGCAGAGGACTCAGGGCTAACATCAACCACCTGGGGATCTTTTGAAGTGCAACTAAAGTCTCTGTTACCCCATAGCACCTTCTCCGCAGTAAGCCTCCGTCAGATTGTGGGCACCTCAACTAAGATTCCAACGTGCCACCTGATGAAAAACACAATCAACTATGGAAAACTTGTCTAATAATAAAAAAAAATTTGTCCACTGCTGTAGTTCTTGCCCATGCATTGTTCCACATATGCTGTTTTGCACTAAGACACCAAAACACTGCGCCAGTAAAACAAATTTTCTCTATTGCTGTTGCCATAGGAACAAGTTTCAAGTTTCATGAAGCTCGCAGAGCAAAACTACCTCCTCAGAACAAGCAGCTTCTTTGCTAGCCATTTGTGAATTGAAGACTAGTCCATGGGCCAGCAAGCACAGCTCTTTTGCAATGCACAGAAAAGAAAATGCCTCGCGAGTTTTCAAGGTAATCAGCACTTCATAGGTGCTTTAGTGCCCCCAATCACCACCCCACCCTCCAGGTCACATCCCACCCTCCAGGTTAACCAACGAGACTGTATTATTATTATTATTATTATAATTATTATGTTCCGATTAAAAATTTCAGTGTGGATTACAGAGAAAGTCACAAGGTGGTAACTGGGCACATGCATGTGATAAAAGAGCTTGCTTCTCAAACTATATTTTACAGTAGTAGCCGTTAGTGTACCTTTCCAACGAAATCCGTCGTAGTTTGAATGCGAAAACCCACGTGATCACAGGAAGAGGGGCGAGGACGAGGGGGAGAATGTCAATGTCCATCGTCGCCCCTAGCCCAACTATGTCATCTCTAGGAAAACTCTCTCTCTCTCTCTCTTTCTTTCTCTCTCTCTCTCTCTCTCTTCCCCCCCCCCCCCCCCCCTTTCTCCCGTCGCTGTGGGGTTCTTGCGCTCATGCTCTCCGTGCCACAGTGTTCCGCGCGCCTAGAAAAAGGCAAAAAGAATGTGCAGCCGCAGATGACGAGTTGCGGGATCACGAGGCAGACGCAAAACGGCGGATGCGACGGGACCTCGTTTCCTTTGCTGTGACGACCGCCGAATATCAGAGGGAATTGCTGGACAACCCCTCGGGTACTCGTGTAATGTGTGCGACTGCTTGTGGTTTCTGAGAGGCCTGACGCCCACGCAATCCAAGCATGTCTTCGTTCCGGTCCAAAAGTGGTTCCCCGGTCAAAAACGTGCAATTTCAAAGTCTGCACAACATGCAAGTCTACTTTGGGAACTGGCGAAGAGCCCAACCTGCCCACTAAAAGCAAACAATAATGCAACAGCTACCGCTGTCAATCGTAGTCACACAATGGTCAGAAAGCAAGACATTAAGGGCACAGGGTAAGGGAAAGTTTAAAAACAAATAGATTTTAGTTTTACTTTCTTTTTGTTTTGAGTTTTTTTTTGTGCACATTTTTTAGTCACACTGTTCTTAGAAAGTCATATTTCGGGCTGAAAGACACTTTCCGAATGCAAGCAGCAGGTGACCATGCCCCCTTTTGGGATTCACTCCCTGTTTATAAATACATTTTCCAAAAAAAAAAAAAAAGAATCAAAAACAGATTTAAAAGCATGTCGGGAATGAGAAACATCTTAAAAATTATCTGGCAACTATTGCATAGCTCTTTTTTAACCAAGAAAATCCCGAGACGCTGTGCACATTTTTTCCACATGTGTACTTCCAAGCACCCGTGTTTTTTAACGACAAAATGGCGACATTGGATGCTGTTCTTTCATTCAATGATGGCAGCATCGCACGAGCTAATATTTTGGAGTCCTGTGGATCGAACCCTGGGTGGAACACCAAGTGGCTGAGGGAAGTTGACCTCACTCGAATATACCTTGTGGACCGAGCGACACGACAGGTCACAAAAGAGGCCCAGCAAGCAAAAAGATAAGCCATAAAGCGAAGACATGACTAACTACGACTACCAAGCTGGA